AGTGTAAGTGTTCATACTCTTACTGACTAAAACCACCGCGTTCCTACTCCTGGACTTCGAGCCGGAGCCCCGGTAACCCGTTAAGTTCTCCGTGGCTCCGTATCGGCATCAGCACTATTGGGCCCCATCTGTGGTGGTCTGATTATTACTTACGGATAAACTGAATGTCCGATATCTTGAATCTAAAAAAACTTATTTGCGAAAAATTTGCCCAAGGCCTGCTGATGAATGGATACCAAGGTTTTATTAATTAATAGGTAAGTAGTTAGCATTATAACGTACCTACCGTCCGTAAATTATTTTCTTATAAGTACTTGGCCTAGTTTTATATTTGTAGTGTTTTATAGTGGTTAACTTATTTACGACTAGCTTCTGCCAGCTGCTTCGCCCGCTTCCCAGGGATATAAAAGTGGCCTGAGTTAGGTACTCCAGACCATAATCTAATCGCGATTTTTATTTCGAAGGGAAGTTTGGACGTCCCGGTAATTTTACTCACACGGCGTAACCCATTAACACTAAATTTTTGTGAAGACTGTCGACTTGGTAGTATTGATCGTCATTACTCGAGCAGGCTTATGAATGATGTGATAAAAATGCACCTAGATGCTCGATTCCAGAGTTCAACTACCGGAATGAATGACATTTACATTAAATAATAGTGTTCATTTGCCGTCAATCCAATGCATATTACTATGCCCCGGCTTGGGATGTTAAAGGGTCAGTAAGTAATACACAATGTCATACACAAGTGTATTAGTATAATTAGTGGCAATAAGCATTTTCATTCTTGATATTTTGAAAAATGATTTTATTATTTACTAGCTTCTGCCCGCGACTTCGTACGCGCAATCTCGAAAAAAAAATTAAGGGTGGACTACCCCTAACATTTAGGAGGATGAAAAATAGATATTGGCCGATTCTCATAGATACCTATGGGATAAGCACAAAAAATTTCATCAAAATCGGTAAAGCCGTTTCGGAGGAGTATGGCAACGAAAACTGTGACACGAGAATTTAATATATTAGATTTACTGCATGCGCAGAGTCCGTCAAACTGGGCAACTGGCTGCTGCGCAACGTGTCGCGGGTTCGACTCCTCTATACTTATTACACCGCCCAACGGCTCTAGATTTTGTTGCAAGGCAAGTATTTAGTTGCAAAAATAAAAGACTCAAATGGACCCAAAAAAGTAATTTATTGGATCATATTTTTTTGAATTAATTACAAAGTGTCGATCACTTCTTGGCTGTGACCGCGGCCTCGTCTTCCCGCGCGAACGTCTGCAGCAGCTCCTCCTTCTTGGCGGCGATACGCTCTTCACGTCGCTTACGCGCCTCCTTGACCTTGTTACGGCGGGCCTCAGCCTGGTCACTGGAATTAAAAAAAAGTTATTCATAAGAGTAATTTGAATACTAAAATGATTATAAGGAATGTTACGTGAGAAAAATGATTGTTACATTCATAACTATTCAAAAGTAGTTAGTTACCCAGAAATGCTATATCAGCAAACTGCCATGCAAATAAGTCATAGAAAATGACAAGTAATCAACTATAACAGCAGGCTATATCTATTTTAAAGAACTGGTGACTAAATTTTAGCTCTAGTATCAACCTAAGAGTAATTGTACTAACCGCTTGAATATAAGACCATAGAAATTACATTGTGTCTCATGTGTATCTGTGTTTGGAACACAATGTGTTAACCTAACTAGTATGAATGAATATCTTCAAAGAAGTATAAAGTTGGCAATTCTTACCTAAGCATCTTAGTCCTAGCCTTCTCAGCCTTCTTCCTGTGGATGTACTCCATAAGTACACGCTTGTTCTTGAACACATTACCCTTTGCCTTCATGTACAGGGCGTGGTACAGATGCCTGTCGATCTTCTTGGCTGTTCTGTACTTAAGGAGCAGTTTACGGAGAACCCTTTGTCTTTGTACCCAGAGTTCCTGGATAAGAGAGAAAAATAAGAGTAAAGTTAGCATCTATGTTATTTGCAATAAGGTTACTTTGGAAGAAAATCAGAAGTTTCAAATTAATTAAAATTCTTGAAAAGAAGTCATAGAAGTTACAAAATATTACTACTTAACTAATGTTACCAATCCAGATATAAATATGACCGACATAAACAAACTTCAATAACAAATGATCAAAAATATTGCACAATAATATGAAAATATCAACAATGAGATTATCTAAATCTCTTTTGTATTCTAAGTTTAGTCTGAAGTATGTGTATTCTTTATTCTGAAGTATTGTAAATACATACTACAGGCTAATCTTTTCCATTGCATTAATCTTTCAACTTTTATGCAAAGCAACTTTTTTTTTATAGCAAAATACAACAAAACCTTAGAAAACATGAATGTATCTGAAAAATAAAAAAAATAAACATAGGAAAACTCACCTTCTGGGGCATACGGGCATTAGCAGTACCTCTTCTCTTACCGAAGCCACAGTGACGTCCCTTTCTGCGAGCCTCTGTGTTCTTGCGGACGCGAGCACGTGAGTGTACTGCTACAGGCTTCTTGATGACGAGACCATCCTTGATCATCTTACGGATGTTCTGTCCTGGAAGATCATGAGGAAGTTTCAAAACGATTTTGGTGTCTCAAATTAATTAATATGGATAGACAGTGAGAGAGAATTAGTTGATGTGTATCTTTAGGTGATAAGACCCCGAAAATTTATAGCATTTTCTAAAAATTAAACAATGTTGATGTGAGGTTACTGTGATAAGTAGGTATTTGAAAGTAATGTTTTTAGTTGCAGAGTGAACAATTTAAAAGAAAGGGGTAAAAGTATGAAATACTTTTACGATTTAGTACTGGATAGACCAGGTAGAGCTATGTACCTAGTCATGCGATATGGCCAAAATCTTCAGCCAGTTCGATGAATTTGAATAAACATCATTGCATAAAAATATGAAATAAATTCAGCATGTTAAGAAAATATCGTTATTGGGGCGATAATGAAGCATTTTAACTTATTTACTTTCACTAAACTTTGTTTACAACCTGTAAAAAAACTTCAACATGCACTCATGATCACGCCGCGCTTTGAAAATACGTGTGTGTACTTACTTGAGTTGGTATTTGCGATTTCATTGATCTCATTTGGATCAAGCCATACTTTCTTTTTACCGCATCTCATAACAGAGGCTGCAAGCCTCTTCTGTAGCTTGAGGGAACTGAAAACGAACGAAAATCCAGCATGACCACATGGTTGCGAAGTTCACCGATAAGATATAAATGTTACAGAAACTACCATATTCACTAATAAAAACATATAAAATACAATTATTGAACCACCGCAAACTTTTCTTGCAATAATTATAGCTTTTAACACTAAAAAATTAAATTATTTAACGAAACTAACCTCATCTTGACTAGGTGAGCTCCAACGCATACAAGAAAGAAAAATGGCTGACTCTGTCAGTGCGGGGTAACCACTTACTAAAAATTATACTTCACTATCTGAATTTAGTCGATTTGGTGTAACACCAAAAAAAATGTTAATACGAAAAATGAATAAAAATCAAATAAAAATACAATAAAAAAAACATGAATTACAAATAAATTGAAATAAACATATTATTTGGGAACTTAAAATACACAAAAGTTAATAAAAGAAAACTAAAAATAACTATTTACACATAACATCAAAAAAAAATTCATATGATTTCCAATGCTTAGAGACTACTTTTGTATGAACAAATTTAGGGGATGAACTTCAACGGGTTAGATTATAATGAATGTTCAATACGAACTAGAAAGTTTACTATAGCATTAAAAAGAAAAGAATTAATTTATTGATATGATTGAAATGATTTATTCAATCGATGCTTTTTTGGCTACGTTATTTATTTGCTTTTTCTTTTTCTAAGTCACGGACCAGGGGCGTAGTTAGCGACGTATCTGCCGTATCAAATATCTGAAGCCTTTCCTAAAACGTGCGTAACCAAACTTAATAAAACCTTTCCAATATTTTATTTCAGTACTGACAAAAGTTTTCCCGCGTCAAGCATGCGTTCAAAGCTTGGTAGAGAAACTTTATAAAAACTAAAATAATCATAGTCCAATAATTTAAAGCTGGAAAATTCGTACCTGGAAAGATTTCTGATTTTCATAAAAAAAAAATTTAATGTAATAAAAATCTCTTGCTAGTTTTTACCCATAACACGGCACGCTACGCCACTGTCACGGATCAATCTCAGACAAGGACGCGTTCTATAAGGTTTGCTTACGTTTAGGTGCTCCTTGTTTTTCTGCATTATTGTCACTGTGGAGAAAGAATAGGAAAGTTTCAATAGTTTAGTTGTAGTTAATTTTATGTAGTAAATATTGATGTATTGCATAAATTAATTAATTAATTAAAATAAACAAAAAAGTATTTCAGTTTTTTTCCAGTACTCTTTTTTAGTGTTGGTCACACAGATTGTAATTGTCAAATTGATTTTGACAAGAAAACTGTCCAACTGCGAACTTGTTGACGTATTCAAAACAGAAAAAATGTTCTACAACAATTTCAAACAAATCATCAGCTGAAGAATCCCTAATATTTTATATCAAATTCTATTAACGTATTTACTATGTGTAAAATTAATTGTGCAATTATTAATTGCTAACACAATATAGTTTTCTAAGAATATTAACTATAGTATTTCAAATAATTATTTCTTTGTTATTATTTGTTTTGTGATAATATACAACTGTAGAACAGACAAAGAAACCAATTAAAAGTGCAATAATATTCCATAAAATTATTTCGTAACTCAGAAGTAGAGATGACCGTCAAACTGCGTTAGATAAATCGGATATTGGTTAAGCAATAACTAGATAATCAAAACTTGTTTTTGTCACGCAAAACTAGCGAAATTACGTTTGCCGCGTCAAGTGAATCTCGATTTATCGTGTGTGTGTCGAACTGTCGTCAGTAGCTCGCGTTCGTCCGCGTTGGGTTGTCGTGTCTTTCGTGCGTATTTGTATATTACGACACAAAATGAGCAAATCCACGAGTGTTAACCCAGATTTACAAAGAGAAAGGGAAAAATGCACCTTTAACATAACAGAACTTACTAATTTGTTGGATGGCGGCCCACATATAACTGAGGAAAGGAAAAGAAGAGGTAATTAGCCTATAGTTTTTATACCACTGTTAAACTACTGGTACACAAATAACATGTAAAACAACATTTTTTAATGGAATTACTAGTTTGTGAAGCTGAGAACTTAAACTTTGAACCTATACCTGTCTCTTCCTTAATTTTTAAAGTAGTTATGTTATACTTTCTGCTTTTAGTTATTGTGTAATTTATAACATGTACTTGCAAATATTACAAATAGCTTAAAGGTAATAAAATCATTAACATACATGCATGAGATTGTTTTTATACTGACAGCCAGGAAACTTGAATAAGTGCCTTTTAAATTATCTAAAGGAAGAGTTTAACAATAGACTGCATGTTTCACAAGTTTGTATAAAAAAAAATGTTTTTATTAAATGTAGTTCTACCAGGCTCACAATTTGAATTACAATTTTATTTTATTACGGTATAAATGCATATACATTATGTGTTTAATGAAAATAAAATGTAAAGTTTCATGCCATGGTAGAGGCTCATATTCAAATTCGATTTCCTTGACCAATAATTACGTGAGTTAGCCGAAAACATAATAATTTATTTAGTATGTCTCACGAAAGTTATAATACAAAAATGAAATGTGGTACAAACATAACATAACTTTACGCCTTTTATCTCCGAAGGGGTAGGCAGAGGTGCACACAGAAGTAACACCCACTTTTCAATATTTATGTTTATGTTATGAGTCCCATGTAATAGGGGGTGATACAAACAAAGGCATAAAAAAGAAGAATCAATAATAATAAGCAAGTAACAATAGCTAAGTTTAACAAAGAGCCACACTAGCAATTACCAGATGCATTGCCTGCATGATCAAAAGAAAAATGTAGCCTAAGTCAATCTCCAAGGTTTTAAGTCAGTTAGACACTCCCTACCACCTCACCCAGGCCGGAGAAGTGGTTCAATGATTTTCCACCTTAAAAAAAAGTCACTCTCCAGCATGTTAAATCTTCTCTAGAGTTAAACATTTTGTATTAAAAGTAGAACACTTTTGTAAGATAAAATAATTATAGTTTAATCTGTCAAACACCAAGCGGTCACCGGTGACCGCGACCTATTGTTCTTTAATTGTGTCTATAAAACCGGTACTCAACGAGTTAATAACTTGAATAGTGTAGTTTTATCGCGTAATCAGAGTAAATAACATTCCGAGAATGGTGTTATAAGTCCAAAGTTTAATACACACTTGTAACCTCTGTTATCAAAATATGATTGTCCTCCTTGTTCTAAACTCTTTCATATTTCATTCAGAATGTAATAAAAACTTTTATAATGTAGCTAATTCTTAACAATAACATAATTATGACGGCTTGTTGGCCTAGTAATCGCGAGAGCGACTGCCGGGCAAGGGGTCTCGGGTCGATTCTTGGAATCCTGGGTAGGGCAAAGTATAACTGGGTTTTAAAAAAAAACTCAGTAGTAGCACGGAGTCTGGAATTGTGCCCAGTATATAGCAATAGGCTCACCCCCTGTTACATATATTGGACTCATAACATAAATAGTAAAGAGTGGGTATTACATTGTATAGTGGCACTAATTGCCGTAATGTGCACCTCTGCCTATCCCTTCGGCCTTCGGGGATAAAAGTTGTGGTGTTATGATATGACTAGTTCACTAGTGTACAATAAGGACCTACATAGAATACTCCGTTCTATAGTACTTCTATAGTACATACACTTTTCCCAATTATAAGTTCTATAGTGATGACCAGTCTGTTATACAAAGACCAAAGAATGAATTCCAGATGTCCTCTTATAAAAAAATGATAATATGTACATACATAAACTAAACAAAGCAATATAATAATACTATGCTTTGATGGCACCTAATAACATTCAGTCAGTCTTTGAAATAAGGTCTGAATTTGCATGATACTCATTTGTAGTAGGTACTAAGAACGTAAATTGTAGTAATCTGTAATTTTTGTGTGAATTTATTTGTAAGAGATTTCAAAATACATAATATAAAATTGTAAAAGGTCGGTGTCTGTACATGGAAGATAAGATAAATAAGAAAAACTATATTAGGGGAATAGAACCCAAAATAATGAATTTTAGAATTTTTGTCTGTTTGTCTTTACGTTTGTTCGGGCTAATCTCAAAAACGGCTTAACCTAATTGAATGCGGTTTTCACTATTGCGCTGCTGGGTTTAACATTTAGTCTTTGTTTTTTTTAATAAATAAAAAATGCATGTCAATCAAAAGAATTGCATCATCACATCAATCAATCAAATTATCAAATCCAATTATTAAAACTAAAATGCCACAATATTGTATTCATTCTTACCGTAATAAATAGTTTCATATTCAATGTGTTTTATCACCAACTAATGACTTTTTGAATTACTCAAATCGGACATTCCATTCAAAAGATATTAAACTCAAAACGCAACGTTATAAATTTCTTCGTAGTTTCCGTTTAATTTCGCTAGATGCCGCTGTACACAACGTCACAATCTTATATCGCGGTGTTAAGATTTTTGTGAAAATAATGACCCTGTCAGGCAGCTTTCCTTCGTGCAGGTTCCATTCCTGATGTTAAAACTGACAAAAGTGTTTGGTTGTCGATGCGTTTGTGATAATTAATATTGTTATTGGGTCGTTTAGTTAAAAACAAATAGTTGCCTTTTTTAAATTAAAAGTAGTCTTTTAAATATTTCAATTATCAAGGGATTTTATTACAGTGTTTTGGTTAGTTTAGTCTTTAGTTTGTTTTGTTAGTACCTCCCTACGGCCTATGGCTACGTAGTAGGAATTTGACTTACATACGTAGGGTAAAATAATATTTGAACGTTCATTTCATTAATAACATTTTCTTAGTAAAATAATTAAGGAGTAAGAATGATTTTGTTTGTGTTTATTTTATTTCAATCTAATGCTATAAATGCGAACTGTCTGTCTGTCTCACCTTCACGCCTAAACTACTGAACCGATTTGGATGAAATTTTGTACAGACATAGTTTGAAACTCAAGAAAGGACATAGGATAGTTTTTATCTCGCGAATCCCACAGGAGCGAGAACTTCCCGAAAATCGCACGAGATCGGGAACTATGTGGGTACCAAAAAAAAAAAGCATATATACGGTCGAATTGAGAACCTCCTCCTTTTTTGAAGTCGGTTAAAAAACCTGCCAGAAGTCACTTTTCCACGCGGACGAAGTCGCAGGCAGAAGCTAGTATGTATTATAATACAATTCAGAGATTTTTTTTAAACTGAATTATTCATTTATTTTCATGTAAAGGTTATTAACCTCTGCCTTTGAGAGGGGTTTGATGCATGAGTCAGAGGTATTATTTGATTTCAGAATTTATATAATTATAAACAGCTCAGACGCGTTCTAAATGTGAAACTTTCTTTGTTTGGATGTTTGTCCGTCAATGACGCTGAAACTACTGAACGGATTTTGATGAAATTTGGTATACAAGCAGAGTATGGGCTGACTTAGGTGATAGGGTGTATTTTATCCCGATGAAATCCATAGGAAACGAATACGCGGCCAAAACCACGGGTAAAACCTACTAAACCAATAAGTATACTTCAACCTACTCAGAAATCGAAACTCCTTTCTCGACAGTCGTGAACAATCGACCAATGTAGCGATTAATTATAATCAATGTTATTAGTTATAGAAACTCAATATAATTAGTACATCCTTGATGAGATTTATTAAAATCTTATCAAGTACAATATCAGTAAAAGAATTATTGATAATTCAGGTTGGTAAATAATATTTAAGATAAACCTATTGACTAAATTCCAATAATCTAAAGGTCAAACACTTTACGAATAATATTAGGTCATATCAATTATGTATCAAAGGCTAGGCATTGGCGTTCATGCATACTAATTACGCAGTGCACTAAAGACTTGTTTCTGAATATCTTTTTAAATTGCTATGACCTGTATAAAGTATATATTTTGACACATTTTATATGGAGAAACCTTACATGTGGGTAGGGCTTAATATGGTCCAGTTTAACTCCACTAAGACCCCACCAAGTCTGCCTGTTTAACGCTAAGAAACTGCCGGTGATAGTCTCTCCTCAGTTTCAAATCACACCTTTAACTGCCTCAACCAGTATTGGAATACTTGGTGTCCGCATTTCGAGCGGCGTCCAGTCATCTGGAGTACCTATAAGGCCAAATTAGCCTTGAGTGCTCAATAGATCGAGGCAGTATTTCACCCCGGCCCACTGCCTGCTTCTATATAAGACCCAGATTCGGCCCCACATGGAATACTATTCTCATCTTTGGGCGGGGCACCCCAGTACCAGCTTCTTCCTCTGGACCGCGTTCAGCGGCGTGCCGTTCGGTTGTTGGATGTTGGGATGTTTCAAACTGGCTAGACACTTTGGCAATGTGTAGAGATGCATTTTCTCTCTCTCTCTCTCTCTTAACTCTTCAGCTTTAAATGACTCCACGATAAATAGGTACCGTGCGGAGCGGGGGCAACTGCGTGACAATAAAAATATACGAAACAGAGATAGAGATATACCAAAATCTACAATCAATCAATACAAAATCAAATGTGAAAGTTTATATGAAAAAAAAATAATAATTATAATGTTAGTAATTGAATAACAATAAAAGTCAAAAATCACAAGTCAAACAGTAAAAGTCAACTGGTTACCTAAATTAATAAACAAGATGTCATTATGTCCACATTCAGGCTAAATTAAATTATACTTGACTGCACGGTTGGCGCGATGGCCTACGACACAGGGGAAAATACTAGTGTGCGGCAACGTTTTTTTTTTTTTTTTTAAATAACAAAAAATAATACTTAAGAAATAAACAAACAATACTTAATAACAAATAAGATGTATGTATAACTAGCTGTTGCCTGCGACTTCATCGCGAGCATTTAATCGGGATAAAAAGCCCTATCACCTAAGTTAGCTCATACCTTGCTGTATACCAAATTCCATCAAAATTCGTTCAGTAGTTGCAGTGTGGTTGACGGACAAATATCTAAACTTTCACAAGTATAATGTTATTAGGGTGATTTAAATACCACACATAACTAAAGTTGTTATTGTGTGAACATTTGTAAGTAAGTAATGTATAAGTAAACCTATGGACATATAGTAATAGAGTTGTATTTAAATTCTAGTTAGTTATGGAACTGTAGTTCAAAGTTCAAGTACTTAACAGTACAATCTACGTGTAACACAGTTATTATAATGTTCTACAGTTTACATACTCATGGCTTTGAGGCCAAATTGGCGACAGGCAGTTAATTCACGGTCTCAGCATATGCAATAACAATATTATACTTATTTGTTTCTGTTCTTCTATTATTATCGGTCTACAAAACTATTAAACTATCAAACACCGCGAGGACACTGGTGACCGCAACCTATTGTTCTTTAATTGTGTCTATAATGACGGTACTCAAAGGGTTAAGTATTGGTATTTCTACTATTCCGTATTACATGGTCCGTTTAAATTACTGTCATGCTCTTCATTAGTGATTCGTCGGTCAAGTGGTCGCAAGGCGACTGCTGGGCAAGGGGTCTCCGGTATCAGGTTCGACTCCCGAACCGGGCAAAAAATACTACTGGTTTTTTTCATCTCCGTATTAGCACAAAGTCTGGAATTGTGCCCGGTATATGGCAATAGGCTCACCCCCTATTACATGAGACTCATAACATAAATAGTGAAAAGTGGGTGTTACATAGTGGCATTAGGTGCCGTAATGTGCACATCTACCAACCCCTTCGGGGATAAAGGTCGTGATGTCATGTTGTATTAATTACTGCTGAAATCTCCATAGGGTTTAAAGTGTTATTATGTTTATTTATATATCAAAGGCTAGCCCCTTAGTGTCTAAAGTCCTCTCTTTCAAAATCTGTCTCTTTACATCAGAGATCAAAGTCCGATCGAAACTCGTTTTGCAAATAGTTGTGTGTTTTTCGCTAAGTTGGTCAAGTTTATTGAGGTCCAAAGTGCAAGGTTTTGTCGCGGAGAACCTAACGGGTAACCGGGGCTCCGGCTCGACGTGCAGGAGAAGGAACGGGGTGGTTTTTAGTCAGTAAGAGTCTGACACTCCCTTCCGCCTCACCCAGGCGGGAGAAGACATACGATGATTTTTCCACCCTTAAAAAAAAAGTGCAAGGTTTTTATTAAAGACTAATTTTGACCACAGTTTTGGACGTGTATCTCGTTCCAATGTCTGTGTGCATTTTTCTAATTTATGATTAAAAGGTAACTCCTGTATACGTGTATTTATATGAAAAGAAAATACCTACTAGTCTTTCATCTTCTTCCATCCTACAGTTTCGACTGAGTGTTGTCTATTAGTATTTAGTAGTAGGTATTAGTCCGTTAGTTAAAGAAATTATTTCACAAATCATTACACGAAAATAAACCCCCTTTACATAAATTAATACGTACTGTACATATTTTCGCGTAACACGTGTATTATTACGTCATACATGACCGGCACAATGTGGATCATCGATTGTATTGTAAATAATTAATCTATTGAGTAATTATATTATTTATTGCTTACATAATTATTGTGTAAAGTATTGTGCAAGTTAAATGTAGATGCCTTGCCTACTAACTTTCAGCAACGATTCTAAAACTAATATCAGTACTCGAAGTCTAATACTTCTCGTGGGTCGCGGAGAACCTAACGGGTTACCGGGGCTCCGGCTCGACGTGTACCAGAAGGAACGGGCTGGTTTTTAGTTAGTAAGAGTCTGACACTCCCTCCCGCCTCACCCAGGCTGGAGCAGTCATTCGATGATTCTCCCCCCTTAAAAAAGCCTTAAAATACTTCCCCCATTCTCAAATGGCCAGCGACTCATTTGTAAGGCCAACTCTGGAGTTGCAAGTGTCCATGGGCAGCGCCGTTTGCTTACTATCGAAAGATAAGAATGTTCTAAAATAATCGAAGGCAGTTGTTACTCTCGTCCAACTTTTACATTCATCACTTATCCCTATTTCCATTCTTTGCAGAGACGATGGTACTGAATGAAGGAATCCACATCGAGGAGGTTCCTTCAGAATACTTGAGTCACAAGGAGAAGTATGAGCTAGCTGTGAAGAAAGCATGTCTCATGTTCAAGTTGATACGCAGACTCCAGGAGGAAGAGAACGCTGGCATGGAGAGCTTTAGGTGAGGATTTTTTTTTTTTTTTTTAGAAACGTTGCCCCACACTAGGATTTTCTCCTGTATCGTGGGTGTGTTTACAAACATACAATATGACGCCCAGACCCAGAACAACAATCTGGATCACACAAAGAGTTGTTCCGTGCGGGAATCGAACCCGCGACACGTTGCGCGGCAGCCAGTTGCCCAGCCACCGCGCCAACCGTGCAGTCAATTGCAAAAAATTGGTTCTTCTTGGTTCTTCATGGTCATGTGCAAAACTACAAAAGTATAGTTAGTTAGAGTACCTACTTACTTAAGTGCTGGAGAAAAAATGCTGCAGTGGTCCGTGTTATTTTTTCTTAGATATGCAAATGAGGAAAGCTGTATCGGCCTCCAACACAAATACCGCCGCCTCAACGTGACCACGACCGCTCTGCCAAGAGCGAAACGACAAAGAAGGGAAGATGTAAATGAGCTACTGTCTCGTTTCTTAATCGTTGTTCTGTGAATTTTTATCTACAATGCATCTAGAGCAGGTTATGAAAATTGCCCCCTCTGATATATGTAAGACTATTTTTTAATGGTCCCCCTCGTTTATGAGAAATCGTTACTATTCTAACACATACCTGCTAAGTCTTTAGAAAAATAAATGATTTAATATGATATTGGTTTGGGTAGTAGCTAGTAGCTGTAATACAACAAATAATTTAATGACTGCACGGTTGGTGCGGTGGCTGGGCAATCGGCTGCCGCGTGTCGCGGGTTCGATTCCCGCACGGAATAACTCTTCGTGTGATCGACAACTTATTGTTTCGGGTCTGGGTGTGATGTCTATGTGAACTTGTATGTTTGTAAACCGCACCCACGACACAGGAGGAAATCCTAATGTGGGGCAATGTTTTATAAAAAGAAAAAAAATGAAGGTAAATGTGCTAATGACATTCAACAGAGCATTCCTCGGCGGTACCCTCGGTTCAGCTATCCTGCAGGACGGGTCTCCTCTTACGCTCCACTACGTTATGTTCATACCGACGCTGATGGGGCAGGCCACCGTGGAACAGCAGGCCTACTGGATCGGCAGGGCTTTCAACCTTGACATCATTGGCACCTATGCACAGGTTAGTTTTTTTGTTCAAGAAGACCTCGACGGCACAGTTGGTGCGGTGGCTGAGCTGCCGCGGAACGTGTCGCGCACGGAGCAACTCATTGTAACATAACATCACGCCTTTTATCCTCGAAGGGGTAGGCAGAAGCGCACATTATACCACTGTACAATGTAACACCCACTTTTCACTATTTATGTTATGAGTCCCATGTAATAGGGGGTGAGCCTATTGCCATATACCGGGCACAGTTCCAGACTCCGTGCTACTACTGAGATTTTTTTAAAACCCAGTAATACTTTGCCCGACCCGGGAATCGAACCCGAGACCCCTTACCCGGCAGTCGCAATTGCGACCACTCGGCCAACGAGGCAACTCATTGTGTGATCCAGAAATTGTTGTTTCTGGTCTGGGTGTCATTTGTATGTGAACTTGTATGTTTGTAAACGCACCCACAACACAGGAGAAAATCGTAGGGTGGGGTAAAGTTTTTTTTTAATTTCAACTTAACGGGAACGTAAACCGTGCGCTTTAACTGTATTTAATCACTTTCAATCACGGGTGGCTAGTATTGAAATCCGTAATCTTCCCACAAAGGAACAGGAAAAGCCTGACGATCTGGTGACTGCTCTGGCCGGTGTTGGGAAACTGGTTGGGGCGGATGTGCAAGCGTCCTGCCTTCGTGATATTTACAGACTGCCCGGAAAACCGGGCATCTGTAGACCTGTAGTAGCGGAATTTGCCTGCGTAAATACAAGAAACGAATTTTTGGCTAGGGTCAGGAAATATAACAGAGAGCGTACCACAAATGATAAATTGAACACACATGCCATTGGCCTGGTTGGAAATAAGCAGCCACTTTACGTAGATGACCACCTACCACCCACAATAAGAAAGTTATCTTATAATACTCGTCAACTTGCCAAAAGCCTAAACTTCGCATGTTGGTACTCAAACGGAAAAATCTTGGTGCGTAAAAGTCCAGCGGAGAAACCTATTCACATAAGATCTGAAAATTGCCTTGCACTTCTATCACAGCAACAATGACTATTTAGCTATGTGGAACATCTATCACTAACTGGACGACAAATTTGTTGCTGTGCTGAAACTCATTGTTGTTTTTGTAATATTCTAATGGACTTACTTACACTTTATTTCATATATACAACTACTCGCCCTCACACAACCACACTTTCATTTACACTAACAGACACATATATGATTATCAATACCTGCCATTTCATAAATACACACTCGTTTAGAAGCCATAATTGTTGTGATGCCGATTTTCCTCCGCCTCGCTTGAATGGCGTCAGCTCACCGCCTAAACCATCTTAAACATTCGATACCACAAATAACTTGATGCGAGAGATTGACCACTTTGATATCACGGATCCGGTTAGTTGCGCTCCTGAGGATTGCTTATCTTACTTGAATCGTCCTAGGCAATATTTGAAAATATTACAGCAGAATATTCGAAGCCTAAATTGTAATTTTCAGGAGCTCAGTGTCCTGTTGAAGAGGCTCGATTTGACCTGTGATGTCATTGTGCTCTCAGAGTGCTGGTTACAACAAATGGTGAACACACCTACCTTAGAAGGATTTTACTCATATAAAACAACAGACAACTACAACCAGAATGATGGAGTGGTTGTTTATACAAGGAACAGTTTGGATTGTAGTGTGGAGGAACCTTTTTTAATGGAAGCCAATAGTTTGATAATCAAAATTAAAAACGATACTGTCATAATAGCGATTTACAGACCACCGAGCTTTAGAACCATTAATATTTTCTTAAACTCATTGCACAACTTGTTGGAGGACTTGTCTTCGTTTAGAAATATTATCATTATAGGAGATGTAAACATTGACTTATTAGGAACAAGCAATGAGACTATTTCTTACTTAGACACTCTAGTGTACCACGGACTTCTTCCTGCCATAAACACTGCAACCAGAGGTAGCTCATGTCTGGACCATGTAATTCTGAAGTCAAAGCAAAACTCGATTACTTTCTCGCTACCTACCACATTAACGGATCATGAAGCAGTGCTTTTTTGTCTAGAGACCAGAATTAAGACATTTCCAAACAGCAACTTTATCGAAAAGATTAATTTTTCAAACATAATATCAGAATGTAAAAACACAAACTTTAATCTAATTCTACAGGAATACGACCCTAACCTAGCTATCAACCTTCTAATTAATAGTATTCAGAAACTAATATTTACTAACACAATTAGAATAAAAATACCATGTAACAAAGTAACGCTCAAACCGTGGATCACAGTAGGCCTATTGAGATGCATCAAAAACCGTGACAGAATGCACTATAGACTGAAAAAAGAACCAAATAATAACATAATCGCAACTACGTACAAGAGATATAGAAATTTCTGCAACACGATATTGAAAAAGTGTAAGAGACTTTATGAAAAGCGGGAGCTAGAGCAGTCAAAATGTAACAGTAAGAAATTATGGAACAGCATCAAAAAAATCACTAACCTAAATAAACCAAAACAAGTACACACAGAACTGCTAAATCTAGAAGAAACTCCTCAGGAATCCTGTAATGCGGTAAATAAGTTCTTTGCAAATGTGGGAGCCCAACTAGCGAGTAAGATTGCTTCTGCATTGCCCGTGTCTGGTATAGCACTGAAGAATACTCAATGCTCATCTTTTGTTTTATCGGACACGGACTGTGAGGAGGTAAGCGCCATTATCAGCGCTCTGAGAGTGGATTGTGGCGCTGGCTTCGATGGGATTTCAAATAGGGTACTAAAGTTGACCAAGGAGTACATAGTTGCTCCGCTCACGGAGATTTTTAATAGATGTCTGAGTAGTGGCCTCTTCCCCGATGCTCTCAAGCATCCCATAGTCATTCCCATCCACAAAGGGGTAGCAGGGATTCTGTCAATAATTATCGACCAATTTCGCTTCTTCCATCTTTGTCCAAGATATTAGAAAGGATCTTAAATAAGAGGCTCATTAACTATTTAGAAAGGAAAAAAATCTTATCAGATAACCAATTCGGATTTCGGCCTGGTAAATCGACCGACGATGCATTACATACATTTGTGAACCTAGTTGCAACTAAAATGGACAAGAAGCAAAAGTGTATCACTCTCTTCCTGGACTTAGCAAAGGCCTTTGACACAGTCTCTCATGACAAACTGCTGGCGAAGCTTGAGAGCATGGGCATAAGGGGAAACGAACTTGGTTTATTTAAGAGCTACCTGAAAAATCGAACTCAAAAAGTGAGAATAGGTAAACAGTGAGCGAGGCATATAACGTTAAATTTGGCGTGCCACAAGGCAGTATATTGGGTCCGACTCTTTTTCTGGTCTATATCAACAGTCTGTGTCAACTAAATCTAGCGAACTGCAAAATTATCTCGTATGCTGATGACACAACCCTTACCTTTTATGGAAACACATGGGAGGAAGTGTTTGAATACGCCCAAGAGGGCTTTAATAAGGTCTGTCTGCACCTGGCCTCAGACTTATTGACCTTAAATGCCTCTAAGACCTGCTTTCTAGCCTTTTCACTGAGTAATTTGGACACGGTCTCACACACAATACAATTTCACTCGTGCTCACAACAATTTAGTACAACCTGTAATTGTCCACATATCAATAAAACTAAAACTGTGAAATACCTAGGCATAACCATCGATGACAAGCTAAGTTTTAAGGAACATATAAAAAATGTCTCCAACAGAATTCGAAAGTTATCATATGTCTTCAAAAATCTTAGACACGTTGCGGACTCCAATCTCATTCGAATGGTGTACCTGGCGCTCTGTCAATCCGTCATAACTTACTGCATTTCATCATGGGGAGGAGCCGCCAAAACCCACTTGCTCGTATTGGAAAGAGCTCAAAGGCTTTTACTTAAAATTATTTTTTTCAAACCGCAAATTTTCCCAACAACCAAACTTTATGAGCAGGCGGAAGTCCTAACCGTACGACAATTATTCATATTAGCTGTAATCCGAAGACAACATGCTGAAATAAAATATAACCCAAAAAATCCAATTCTGAAAACACGACGCAACTATCAAATCTGTCCAACAAACCCAGCTAGAACAGCCTTCAGCCAGTCTTTCTTCTTCTTTCAAGGCCCTCATCTGTATAACATCATAAACAAAAAACTGTCCCTGTACCCAGTCACAAGAAAAATGTGTAAAGAAAAAGTAACAAAATGGCTTCAAACGCTTACTTACGAAGACACTGAAAAATTAATAACCACTCACAAAGGTATATAGTTCATACACACGCAGGCACGAACCGCGTAAACACAAAACACACACACACACATACATAATCACACACGCATATGCACGCACACACACACACACACACACACACACACACACACACACACACACACACACACACACACACACACACACACACACATTCAAACATGTTTACAACAACCATAGGTAGACTTGGTTATGGTAATATGTACTTAGGGCATTTCTGTTTTTTATCCAATTTCTTCTTTATTAATATTTTTTTTTTTTTTCGTAAACTCCTAATGTAATTTATTTTTCATTGAATATTAAAACTTATATCAACAGAAACTGGTAAACTAATAAAAAAGACAAACTCAGAGGTTAGAAGGCCAGGAGACCCGTAACACAGGCTCTGCTTAGTACGGGCTCCTGTCTCCCATTAATTGATGAATTAATGAACATTTGTTAAGTTTGTTGTTATGTACTTACCTAAAATATGTTTTTTACCTGTTATGATTTTATATATTATGTAACAATTGGGAGAAAAATAAATAAATAAAATAAAAAAAATAAAATCTTGATTAATGACAGTTCTAATCAAGGGATAGCAAAAGGATAGAAGCATAGACAAGTAATATTCGTGTGGCCAGGTCTAGTCCTACCTTATTGTGCTTTGTTTATAAACATTGCACGTCGATATTGATACAAGTGTAATATAGACTAGTTTAAACATTAATGATTAAGAAAGTTACGCCGTATTATAAGTATACTAGCGGACCCGACAGACGTTGTCCTGCATATCCACTTGAATGTATAAACAAAAATTCATTCAAATTAGTTCAGCCGTTTAGCATAACTAACCTAGACATCGACTGCAGCGGCATCTGCCGGGCTGATTTGTGAATCTAAACCATCCAGGGCGCCACTCAAACGCGTACAGAAAATTCATTAAAATCGGTCAAGCCGTTTAGGAGGAGTTCAATGACGTACAGCAGAATTATATATATAAGTATATACATTTTAAACGAAAGAAGGTTGTATTTTTTATATGTATTTCCCTTTTGTATGTTTTTAATTTTTAAGTTTAGGTAAGATTGCTTATGCTGTATTTTTATTTATTTTTTTTAATATTTGGTTTTAAATTAGTAGGTAGGTACTTAGATTTAGTTTTATGCTTAAACTATCGCAATGGAGAAAACTGTAATGATATCTAGTTTTAGATAAGGTTTTAAATAAATCAATATATTGATGTCGTAGCAACAATTCAAATAAATGACTAAATCTTATTATATTGTTTCAGACGGAACTCGGCCATGGTACTTTCATCCGTGGGCTGGAGACGACAGCTACTTACGACGCCAAGACCAAGGAGTTTGTACTACACAGCCCCACGCTCACAGCTTACAAATGGTGGCCTGGAGGATGTAAGTAATACATATAATGTATTTATTTACACACTTTATTGTACACCATAAAAACATACATAGAAAAATAAACATAAAAATAATGTGTACAATGGGCGGTCTTATCGCAGAATGCGATTTCTTACAGACAACCTTTGGATGGATCCGGTAATCAGGAGTTGGAAAAAAGGGGGTCGTCTAGTGTACATAAGGGATAAAAGACGTGATGTTATGTTATGTTATATTTATCAACAAACTCCTCGATCCATTAATAATAACGTTATCTATCTAGTATTAAGGTTGATAAACGCGAAGGCACATAAATAATTCAAAATAATAATCAAATCACGACATGATGGAGACTAAACAATAATGATTATGTAGTAGAACGTTACTCTACGTTTCAATTCAAATTATACTTTAAGTTATGGTAATAAGAATACAATTTACGGTTACTGACTTAATTAAATGGATTGACGTTGAAACTCCATCAACGGGACGACTATAAATAGATTGATTGTGTGATATATTTTCGACACGTGAATGGATATAAAAATAATTCTTTGCAATTACATAATTCAAGCGAAATACCTACTCATAAACGGCTCAGCCATTTGTATCATATAAAGTTTCCTTCGTAAACCTATAATTTAAAGAAATCATATAGAAAAATATCTGCGATACTACGAAAACAATTGACTGAACAGTAAACAATGAAGTCTTCTGAAAATATCAAATTTTACATAACATACGGAATAGAGTAGACGACTCATTTTTTCTTACGAAAAATAATAGTTTCGAAGATATATTGATTTGAAATGTCGCAAACTAAGAAATGACGTTTTAGCTCCCACTCCTAAACTTTGATTCGTTTTATCTAAATATTGTTTTATTATACGACAAAATAAAAAAATATGTGTCTAATATTTTTTAATTACCTAACTTACGGACTAATTATATTTTTAATTTTCATATCATCCTCATTCTTAAATTATTCTAAATTCTAAATTCGAAATAGAAAAAAAAAAACAATAAAACTTTCCACGACCATAACAAAACTCCTTGTTCAGCCGTTTAGTCAAAGAGACAAACTTTTAGTTAACCAAAGCCCTTAAATAAAATAGGTAGCTATAATTATGTCGGTAATCACGTAAAAGATACACAATGTACTCGGACAATGCCAATGTACTTTTGGAATTCGATAACACTATAATACAGATAACATATGTTTTGATTGTAAAATAATGTTGTAATAACTCCTGCGTGGAGATTAATAATATTAATATTCTTTAATTCTGGAAACTTCTAATTAAGCGTAGGTACCTAATTACCTATCGCTTAGATAATGATTAATATATCTGTTGGTATTTGATTTGTGTTGTTTGTTCTTTTAATGTTTTCTAATGGCCTTATTCCTTGATCGCTTCCTAAACCAACTTTCAAAAGTGAGCCTTGGGTTTAAAATAAGTAATACCTATATTACCCATTTCCTCTATGCCCAATTAAATAATAAAAATAACGCGAAGTCTGGAAATGCACCTAGAAATTTTAAAATTAATATCGTTACTGAAAATAAGAATAAAATAGGCAAGATGTAAAATCCATAAGTACATGAATATTTGATTATTATTGCTTTAAAGTTTAAAGGTCTTAGGACATATCCACACGACATATTTTATAGGTACTGGCGACGCACATAGACGACTGTTTACTGCGCCATAAAATAACTTTAAGTCTAAAACAAATCTCTTTTCAAATATCATAAACCGAAAGAAATCAAATACTTCTTTAAACATTTTTCACTCTGAGAAACATTAAATAATTTTGCTCCATGTTCCAAATAAGAACAATTTGTACAAACAGAAAAACAATAATAATAAAGAAAATTATACAGTATAATACACCACATAATTCATTCCAGTGGCCCATTCAGCCAACTACTGCATAGTGATGGCCCAACTATACACCAACGGCCAATGCCACGGCATCCACCCATTCATCGTCCAACTGAGAGACGAAGAAACTCACATGCCACTCAAAGGCATCAAAGTTGGCGAGATTGGCGCCAAGCTTGGCATGAACGGCACCAACAATGGCTTCCTTGGCTTCGAACACGTCAGAATACCTAGGGAGCATATGCTTATGAAGAATTCTCAGGTTTTGGAAGTGAGTATCTATAACAATAATAATATAATCTACATTCTTAAATAAAATAAAAAAATAGTATCTAAGACTAAACTCAGTATCCTGTCATGAGTATGTCTGTTTGCTGTGATATCAAAAACTGCTAAACAGATTTTTAAGCAGTTTTGGATGAAGTAGATAGAGGTCTTTGAAGAAGGTTTAATTCGTCAAGGTTTTTATTACAGCAAGGTACGAGCAGAATAAATAAAAAAGATTAGAAAGCAAAGAAAACTTGTTAAGGTCTTTGTAACTTCATTATTAATGCAAACGTAAACGTGTTTGTACGCTTTATACCGAAAGCGCTGAATCGTTTTTTCATTAATTACGGTTAATGGAGTCATAGTACCTACGGATTTTTGCCTTCAAATATCAACACTTTATTTCAATTATGTACAATTACAGATTTATGATAAAAAAAAATGTATTGTAACTTTCGTGAGACATACTAAATAAATTATTATGTTTTCGGCTTACTCACGTAATTAGTAGCAGCGCGACAGTCGCCGCGTCGCGAGTCGCAAAATGCTCATAAATATGAGCCTCTAGCATGGCTTGAAACTAGTCGAGTTCCTCGTCAAATTATAACGTGAATAAGCCGAAAACATTTTTTTTTTTTACTAGACTTGTCATCTTTCTTCGAGATTCTAACTTATATATTTTTTTGTTATTATTTCTACTAGGACGGAACATACGTCAAGTCTCCTAGCTCCAAACTAACGTACGGCACAATGATGTTCGTCCGAGTGGTCATTGTGAAAGACATGTGCAACTACATCGCCAAGGCCGTTACCATAGCAACGCGGTACTCAGCCGTCAGGAGGCAGTCGCAGCCAAAACCAGAGTAAGTTCATTTTAAACCGACTTCAAATTATGAACGTTCTTTGTAATTAACCTGTGTGTATGTATGTGTGTGTGTAATTAAGTAATTATGTATGTATGTTATGTTTGTGAACGATTATTTCGTATCTCTGAACTGATTTTGATACGATTTTCAGAGAAGTGTTTGTTACATACATACATACATAACTTCACGCCTGTCTCCCATAGGGGTAGGCAGAGACTATGGAACGCCAATTACCACGATTCCTACATACCTCTTTCGCTTCATCAACAGTCATCAATCTTTTCATGCATGCTCGACGGTTAAGGGTACTTTTAATTTGGCCCTTCTTTAATATATCGCCAATCTGGTCACTATATGTCCGTCTAGGGCGCCCTCTATCGACGGCCCCATTCATATCCGCTCTGTATACTTCTTTTTGTTCTTTAATTATGTCTATAATGACGGTACTCAAAGAGTTAATATAATAAAATATTAAAAAATAATCACAAATTTAGTTTTAGTAAAGTTAGTAAAGTATGCTGTTTGTTTGACGCTAAAAAAACGTGACGTCACAATACACAGTCTCGTACAAAATTCATAGAGAACTGTCGTTTTTGACAGTTCCAAAAAACAATGTTGAATTTGGATAGTTGGCAAGTACCCTATTATTTCATTCAATGTAATATCCACTTTCACTACGAACTCTACGTTTGCAATAATTTAATTCTAGACTTATAACAAACTATGTTACTGGCTAGAAAGTCATGTAGGCTAAGTACTATTTTACTGTAACCACGTGAGCAGCCGCGAAGAACTTAACGGGTTACCGGGGCTCCGGCTCGAAGTGCAGGAGTAGGAACGGGGTGGTTTTTAGTAAGTTTTCAGTAAGAGTCTGACACTCCCTCCCGCCTCACCCAGGTTTTTACCCCCTTAAAAAACCACGCGAGCAGAGCCGTAAGTAACAGCTGATTACATATTTTACTTCTATCTATCCTCAGTGAGCCTGAGCCTCAGATCCTGGACTACTTAACGCAGCAACACAAGCTGATGGTGGGCATCGCCACCGCGCACGCCTTCCAACTCAGCGCTGACTGGATCTGGAACATGTACAACAATGTCACCGCTGAACTTGACGCGGGAGACTTGGAGCGATTGCCTGAAGTAAGTTTTAGTAACTAACTTTTTTTTCACAGGCACTTATACCTTTTCAATACTCTTTTAAGGAATAAGGGCAAACGATCAGACGGATCACCTGATGGTAAGCAAACTACGTCGCCTATGGACGACACCTGAAACACCAGACTTACTTACTCCGCTTTAGGGGAGGGGATTGGGCCTTCGGTAACCTCACTCACTCAGAACACAAGCGCTGTTACATGCCAATTTTCCGTGAGGACACAAAACATTCGTCTTTTAAACGAATGCCGTACGAGCACTTTGGGTGATGCAGAGAAGAGTAAATGGTAGGTACAAGAGGCAAGCAATGATTTTATATATTTATGGTTTATTTCAGACATATACATCCATAAATATTATTATAATATATATCATATTTATACACACGAGTATATAAGTATGATATAGGTAATTTTAAGTAAAACTCAATACTTGAATAAATTAATACTGAAAAGTTTATTCTTATAAGAACACAGCGTGATGCTTGTCAAACTTCCCACAAGAATCGCGCGTTACCACTCTTTGCGCGGGAAACCTTTCTAATCTGTCACATTTGACAGATGACATCGTCAACATGCCAGCTAGAGCTGTGGATAATACAGATTAAATTAGTGACGTTCTTTTAGTTGATTTTCGTCGTCTAATAATAGTGATGTATGCATTATCCAGTTGCACGCGCTGTCGTGCTGCCTGAAGGCGATGACGACGGCGGATGCGGCGGAGTGCGTGGAGCGGTGCCGGCTGGCGTGCGGCGGGCACGGGTACATGCTGGCGTCCAACCTGCCGCACACGTACGGGCTCGTCACCGCCGCCTGCACCTACGAGGGGGAGAACACCGTGCTCCTGCTGCAGACGGCCAGGTCATTGTGGACTCTTTATTTTGTTTAGCCTGCTATTGTACTGTATTTTGACTGGCAATGGAATAGAATGAAAGGTGGTTAATGGGATTGGATGAAAGGTTATGTCTAGAATTTTATTTATAAGATTGTTATTTGTTTTAATATAAAATTACCTTTGAAAATTAATGATATGTGTGAGCAATTTGGAGAAACTAATTCTAAAGAGTAGGTCTCGAGAATGGGATATTATGATTTCTTTGACTCCGTACTATAGCGCTGATGATAGCTAGTCAAATTCTTTTTAGTCATATTTTAATGTTTTTTCTTTAATAACTCTAGTTAAGACCATAAGTCCAACCTTACCGTATATATTCTTAAACAATTTACCAGACCGTAAACTCACACACGTGTCTATATTTGCAGATACCTAGTAAAGACGTGGCAACAAGCCCAGGGCGGTAACTCCCTGCCCCCGACGGTGGCGTACCTGTCCCGCGTGGGCGCCGGGCGACGCGTGCCGCCGTGGGACAACTCCATCGAAGGCATCATACATGGGTTCCAACTCGTTGCTGCCGGGTAAGACTATAATAAATTACAAGGATTTTTTGCTGCTAGAAAAACCGCACAAAGTAGAGAGAGAAGAAAGTGAAGAAAGGTTGAAACTATGTTAAATGAAATTTAAAACGGAAACTAATGCACCCCTCATTAGAATCTAGAATAACACATAGGCTACTTTTCATTCCACAAGAACGCGGGGAAGCCGCTGGTGAAAATTGGTGTGTTATAATTTAAACATGTACATTCAAATGTGGTTTTTATTATGGTTATAGTAAGATCGCATTGTGCGTGGCGAACATCGAGAAACGCCAGAAGGGTGGCATGTCGTATGAAGATGCGTGGAACATGACTTCTGTGCAACTAACACAGGCTTCCGAGGTAAAATAATTATACATTTTCCAAGTCTATATACCTAAATAAAAATTAAACACTGAAATGTATGTTTGTAGTAGCACTATAGGACTGATAAAAAAACAATACGCTTCCTACAGACGGGGAATTACGATATCTTGTCTTCGTTTGTTAGGATAATTATATTTACAGGGAAACAATCTATGGTATTGATGCTGCCAAATAAATTACTAATGAAGAATTTTTGACGAGTCGTGTTTTGATTTTGGATTAGGTCGATATTTTCCACTTTTTGGATACAGCTACTGAAATCTGCCTGCCTCGTTGGCAAAGTGGTCGCAAGTGCGACTGCCGGGCAAGGGGTCTCGGATTCAATTCCCGGGTCTGGCAAGGTATTACTGGATTTTAAAAAATCCCAGTAGTAGCACGGAGTCTGGAATTGTGTCCGGTATATGACAATAGGCTCACCCCTATGGTGAAAAGTGGGTCTTACATTATACAGTGGCATTAAGTGCCATAATGTGCACCTTTGTCTACCCCATCGGGGATAAAAAATGGCGTGATGATGATGTATGGATACAGCAAATGAAACATAATATATTTATTTTTCTGTGTTTTTCACTATCTGTTTAATAATATATACTTTATCGTACGCAGGCGCACTGTCGCGCGTTCATCCTGTCCTCGTACTTCGAGGAGACGGAGCGGCAGGTGAAGGGAGTCTCGCCACAACTACGTGAAGTGTTACTGCAACTAGTAGACCTCTACGTCGTCTACTGGGCGCTGCAGAGGATCGGGGACCTGCTCAGGGTGAGATATAAGCAAAATAATCCTTACTTCCTTACTAATATTATAAATCTGAAAGTGAGTTTGTTTGTTCCACTTTAACGCCGTAACTACTAAACCGATTGCTTTGAAATTTTGCAGACGTAAAGTTACAAGTCCGGATTAAATAATAGGGTACTTTTTATCTCTGAAAAATTTGATATTCCCGAGGGAAAACAAAAGTATTGGTATAGATGGCGCTGTGTGTATTGGTATAATATGTCACATTGGCTTTTTATTCTTTTGTGACGCGAGCGAAGCCGCGGGTAAAAGCTAGTGTTTAATAAGGCTGAAAAGGAGATCAAAGTATGTATTTAATGTATGTTTTGAACTCTTAGCGAGTTTAGATGTTTAGTTTTTTTTCACTTTAAATGTTTTTGTGGTATTTTGTGATAGTCAATATAAAAAAGCAAAATAATGTTTAGAAAGGCTGAAAAGGAGGCCAAAACAAGTATTTGATGTATGTTTTGAAGTCTCAGCTAGTTTAGATGTTCAGTTTTTTTTCACTTTGATAGTTTTGTTTTTTGGTATTTTGCCATAGTGAATATAAAAAAGCAATATAATGTTTAATAAGGCTGAAAAGAAGACCAAAATATGTATTTCATGTATGTTTTGAACTCTTAGCGAGTTTAGATGTTTAGTTTTTTTTTCACTTTCATTTTGGAATTTTGCAATTGTCAATATAAAATTCCAGTTCCAAAAAACCGAAGGATGTTATCATAAAATATGATTTGATTTACAAGTTTAGTATAAACAGTAAATGATCAATTTGTTCAGTGCCCAACATATGTTGTGTACCAACATGATTGTAAAACAAACGTTTATCATTAATGTTTTGAAATTAATTTTCCTTTTATATGCAGTTCACATCAATTTCTGAGCGTGATATTGAGAAGCTGCAACATTGGTACGAGGAGCTGCTTACGAAGCTGCGACCTAACGCAGTCGGCCTCGTCGATGCCTTCGACCTACGGGATGAGGTACGTACCTACTTGAAGAGCGCTTTACCCTTGAGTAATGACAAAAAATCATGTCCTGTTATGCATGCAAAGAATTAGATTGTTATTAGGGTACGAAAGGGCTTAAGTATGGGAGAGCCATGCTTCGGTAAGAATGGGCCGGCTCGGCCACAGTGACACCACGGCTTCACAGAAAAAGAAAACCGACGTGAAGCAACGCTTGCGTTGTGTTTCGTCGTGTGTGTGAGGTTACCGGAGGCCAAATTACCCCCTCCTCTTCCCAAATCTCCCCAATCCCTGAATCCCCAACAATCCTCAAACTCCTAATCCCCAAAGTCCGTGATCCGTCTACTCGTTTACCGCCTAATCCTATAAAAAAACGAAGAATTTTTTGTAGGTGTATCATATCAGATAGTCATTCTCTTCACAGTAGTATGTGTTATTGACCAACCACAAACCACTATTAGTTTTATCTGTTGAAACACCGGCTTACAGTATAAAACACATTATACCCGCAACTTTCAACATATAAGAGATTAAGATCTGAGGGCATAGTGAAAGTTTCTTTTGTATATTAACGCGATCTATAACCGCTCAATTAACCCTCGATTACTTTGATTAGTTTGATATAACCAGAACCCTTTGATCGGTTAGATAAGTTTGTGCAGGACAAACTGAGCGCCGGACGTCATAAACGTGTCGATGCGTTAAAACAATAACTCACTACTTCAAACCCAAAAGATATCTTTGAAACTATGGTAGCCTAACTTTCACATTGTGAACTGCAATCAGCTGTAACAATCAAATAAATGCTCGATGATCGAAATAATACTTTAAAATGATTTTATATTGTCATGGTACAATCAAAAGGTATTGTCTACTGAAGAAACATCATGACTGTAAATATTTGAATGAACCAAATTGTTTATTTTCAGATTCTGCACTCTGCCCTGGGTGCGTACGACGGTCGCGTGTACGAGCGTCTGATGGAGGAGGCGCTGAAGAGTCCTCTGAATGCGGAACCAGTCAACCAGAGCTTCCACAAGTACCTCAAGCCGTTCATGCAGGGGAAACTGTGATAGAACTGTGGCGACGCATGCCACATGACGTCACAAGAATCCTACATCGCACATGCAAAGTTTACAAGCGAATAAACATGGATAGAAAATCCCAACGAACAACTGTTGGGCAGAAAGCCCGCCAGGCACGATCACCTCGCCTGGTCCGAGGATCCTCCTTTTCCGATCTTAGGGAACTATACTCTCTGTTCCCTACAGTGGTGACCCCGACGTGATTGGAAACAACCTTCACTTCACGGAGCAGATTAGCACCGTCATCCGTATCGCCATCCCTCTCATTCATCACTTCTCCGCTGAGCGGTAACCAAGTCGCAGCCAACCAGCATCCTCGGCCTCATCAGGGACCACCATTACCTGCAACGAAGTTGTGCAGCCTGGTTCTTCCCTACGGCCTCACCAGCGTGTAGGCACAGCACTTCTGCACACGGTCTGAAGGACACCTCCTCCCGTCAACGCAGATGCCGGCCACTACGCACCTACCCTCGCAGCATCTCTTCCCCGACTCACCGTGGGACACTGCGAACTCATCTCTCCGACTCACTGGAGTTTCACCCTGCACCGCTGACCCGACTCACTGGGCACTCAGCGGCACGGTTCCGACCCACTGGAACTAGGGACGTTCTACACTGGCTCTGGCACCGCTCATCTCAAGCATCGACAGCCGTCTCAGAGGGATCGACCTCCGGTCTTGGGAGGGAGTGATGTGGCGACGCATGCCACATGACGTCACAAGAATCCTACATCGCACATGCAAAGTTTACAAGCGAATAAACATGGATAGAAAATCCCAACGAACAACTGTTGGGCAGAAAGCCCGCCAGGCACGATCACCTCGCCTGGTCCGAGGATCCTCCTTTTCCGATCTTAGGGAACTATACTCTCTGTTCCCTACAGAACTAATTAAATATATGGAAACTGTCTAGATATAAGATATAGCATGTGATTTATTTTTAATCGCGGATTTATATAGGGTCATTCTATTTTCAACCGACTTCAAAAGAAAAGGAAGAGGTTCTGAATTCAATTGTATTTTTATATATTTTTTTTTTATTTTGTCTATTATTGGTTGTGAAATGAGAATCAGGTACTAAATTTTTTAAGAAATTGTTATCAAGAGTTAGGCATATTGTATTTTAGCACAACAACACCGCGCCAGGTGACGGTGGTAATGTTGTTAATTATGTATTTAAATCATTAATGACATGAACTGTAAAACACTGAATTTTATAATAAAAATAAAACGTCAAACTATCAAGTTTAAAAAGATTGTAACCTATGTTAGAATGACCTTATTTAATTCCGTTTTTACGTGAGACTTAAAAAGGTGTAGTTTTTATAATGTAAATCATTTTAAATGGTTAAGGTGTCTTATCATATAAGAATAAAATGTCAAATCAAATAAAATATATTTTTTATATTTATTTCATAGCTAGGTGGTGGACGAAAATCATTCCTTATGCATGTAGGTGCTACAGTATTACTCAACTGGAGATTTTAAGAGATTTAAATTACAAATCATTTATAATAAAGTTTTATATTTTGTTTACCTTTTTGGTTTTTATTTTACAAGTTTTCAATTTTTATTAGGAACGTTAATTGCCTCAGATCTCCAAAGGAGGAGAAATCCGCAGACTTTTCATAACGATTTTGCAAATCACTAATGAACATTTTAGTGCTAACTTGAACAGAACTATATACTTCATTATATTTTGCTTCTAAGTTATAATGATAACTGGCCACATGACTAACTCATGCTACTCAACTCGTTGGTCGAGTGGGTTGAGTCATGAGGCAACTGGTGAAAATTAAGAGCGTTAGATGCGCTATCCACTCATTCATAAAATAAAAATAGTGGATGTTAATGTTAAAGTAATGTTCTCTTAGATGCTCTTAGATTTATTTTAAACTAGCTTCTGCCCGCGACTTCGTGCGCGAAATCCCGTAGGATTTTCAGGATTTTTGTTGTTAAGAACCTTCTCTTACTAATAACAAATACAACAAAAAAAGAATATCTGTAATCGGTCCAGCCATTCACGCGTGATTCCGTAACCAAGGTAAAAAATACATTAACTATACAATTATCTCTAAAAACAAAGTCTAAAAATTAATTAATCAATTCATTTTGAAAAAAGTATTAAAAATAATAGCTTTTCGAAACCATGAAACTAAACGTTTGGGTACCTACTTGTCAACTTTGGTCAAGTCAAGTTGACACTGTTGACAGTTGTCAGTGTCATTTCATTATAGTTTGGTCACTAATTGTTGTTGTTGTTATTGGTGTTTTTAAAAGATATTGTTAAGAGAAAACACATGATATAAAGCAGCATACTAAAAACTATAATTATCTGTTTAACCGGCTTTTAATTATGGCCGGTAACACTTACATGAGTAATTGCCGAGCATGCCTAACTCCAAAATCATCTTTTACGTATTTCTTATTTGAGAACGTATGTCCAGAGTCTTATTACTTTTGTACCTCTGTTCAGGTAAGAAACATAACTTGCTTTATACTTACTATAATTGACTAAGAATCGTAACACAATAATTATGATAATTCTTGATACTACTTGATACCTTAAATTTCAAAATGACTACGATAATAATTTTACTGTCTTAAGTTTGTATTGGATCAAAGTAATAGTGTAAAGATTAACTTGCTAATACTTTAAGAAATGTATTTTCTTAAAGTATTTTCACACATTGAGCAGATCAGAATTACGGCAGTGAACTGGAGCTGAATTGCTAAATCGCTTGGCAGCCAAGGTGTATAAATAAGACAGAAACTTATAATATCAACACAACATATTACAGGTATCCAAAGATGAAGAATTACCAAGAGGTGTATGCAACTCTTGTTATGAGCTTCTGAAGAATTACTCAGACTTTAAACGCACCTGCCTACAGTCACAGGCTATGTTACTAGACATTCTAACTAATAAATCATTGAAATATGAAGTAGACATTCCAGTACCGCACAGAACAGAAAACTATGAATTAAATGAGACACTGGGAGATAAAATCAAGGTTGAAGTAATTGATGGCGCAATTAAAAGTGAAAATGGTGATGATCATGGTATAGTATTCATACTATTCATTAAAATATTTAAATCTACAAGTAAGATTATATTGTAATTCCTCTGGTATCATGGATGTCTAGCATCCACACCACACCAACCTATCTTATCATCCCTATGCCATAAAATATTACAAAGTAACCCACTTTTCACAATTTTATGTTCTGAGGTCCCATATAATAAGGGGTGAGCCTATTGCCAAATGCCGAGCACAATTCCAGACTTCGAGCTACTACTGAGATTTTTTACAAAACCTAAGTAATACTTTGCCCAACCCGGGAATCGAACCCGAGACCCCTTGCCCAGCAGTCGCACTTGCGACCACTCGGCCAACAAGGCAGTCATTTATGTATAACCCGCCCCGGTTTCACACGGGTGCAATATGCATGTATTATAATCAAAATCTGTTTCGTAGTTTCAAAGATCTAAGCATACATACGGAATGACAGACAGCGCATAGCGACGTTTTATACTATGTAATGATAATGGCATGTAATTTAAATTGCTTTCAAAGTTCTTATATCTATGGTGTCTTCGTGTGCGTTACCCAGGCCAGATGTTGTTGATAATGGTGATTTGAATCTTATAGATAATTTGTTTTGCAGCTTCTGTAAATTGTTGTGCTCATTTTTTAATTTGCTTATAGTTTTTTAATTATTTCACAAAAACATTTGCTGCTGGGGTAACATTACCCAAGCCAGACCTTTTTCTTTCTAATGGGAATATTTAAATAATTACTAGCTATAAAATTAGCTGTCTAGATGAAGTAAATTATTTTGTATTTGTTCTTTCATCAGTTGCGAAGTTATTCGATATATTTTGCTGGGGTAACGTTTTTGGTTTTGCTAGATCTTTGAAATGGTTAAGCGGATTCTTATCATATTTCTTAGGAATTAGTTTAAATTTGAGATCTGCAATAAAAAAATCAAAATATTACATAGCTTAAAGGTTATTTCATTAAATAGAAAAACACTATTGGTCCCAGCACTCTGAATAAGAGCTCTAAAGACTTACTTTAAACGTTATTTTAAAGCAAAAACATTAGCGCAAACGCAACAAGCGCAAAAGAATTTAAATTTTTCGCACCAATTACAGAAACTGCAAAACTATAAGATTCAAATGACCATTCGACAACATCTAGCCTGGATAACGCACATGTTTTCTTCATAACAACTTTATTTATTTTTAGAATACATGACTCAAAATGATGATGAAGTTTGTAATGATGACCCAGTAATTAACGAAGTCAAAACTCGTAAAAGGTTAGTTATACATTTTTTTCTACATATTATGTAAACCCAGTACTATAGAAAATATTATGGTTGTACTCATGAACTAGTAAATGTTTAATTTCAGAAATAAAGTAAAGAAAGCTGTGAAATTAAATACACAGAGAAATATAAAGAAACAGAGGAAAAAATTAATTTACACATGTGATATTTGCCAAAAGAAGTTTAATTATAAGCAGAGGTTTGATGCACATAAACTTGAACATGAGGGGAAAATTGTAAGTATTATAAGTAGTTCTTCTCCATAGGAATCTAAGCCTTGGAATGAACAAATAGCTTCACTTTTATTTTTTTGTTGACATTCAAAAGTCCGTTACTGGTATAATTGAAAATAATGATTTGACTTTGAAAATTAAGTTTACATTATTAGTTCTACTGAATTAAGTAATCAATCTTTTTGGAATTGTCTACTTTTCTCATGGCTAAAAATTAGATAAATAGATAGTTGCCAAAAACCTATCCATATCAATTAAAAAGAATTTGAAAATCATAACATCTCATTATCTAATGAATAATCAACCACAAGAATTGTCATATTATAAGTCTCAAATCTCAATAACTAATTAAATTTAAATAATTTGACAATAATTATCTTCCAATTCATTATTGTAACTCAAACTTCATCACAACATACAGGTATCCATCTACTGTGCACCGTGCCAGAAATCATTTATCACATGGAGTGGGCTAAAACGTCACCAAATCAGTACACACACGCAAGTAAATCTGGAGAGTCTGCGGTGTAAGACTTGTGGCAAAATATTCAAGAGTCAGGACACATTGCGGTCACATAAAAAGTTACATGGTGATAGAAACTTGATCATGTGTGATGTTTGCGGGAAAGGATTCACTACTACTACTGTTTTAAAGGTAATTAAAGCTTGTCATTAAGTAGTTCGTTAGTAAAGTGGGCCATCCGTGGGTTCGCAACCCCAATCTCTCCCCTCCCCTGCTGTATTAGGTGTCCATAAGCGACATGAGTTTACATGTCTGCTCGTTTGCCGCCCTATCTCATAAAAAATCTAAAGCCAAAAGTGCACTATCAGTTTTTAAACTTCTCGCTACCCACCGTCATTACAAACGTCAAAGTAACCAATGACCAATCATCTAAGACTCTGTTGCATGGATATAAAAAATCCTAATCATCACTAACATATTTAACTTTGTTTACAGATCCATAAAGAATCACACACAGAGAACAGGGAACGTCGTTTTACGTGTGAACATTGTGGCAAGAAGTTCTTCACAAAAACAGTATTACTGTCACACGTAGCAAGAAGACATTTGGGTCGCACTTTCATATGCCAAATATGTTCGTACCCATTCAACGACAAGTACAATTTAACCAAACACTTACTAATACACGAAGGGAAGAAGCTGTTCAAATGTGACATCTGTATGAAGTCCTTTAGAGCACATTCGACTCTGGTGGAACATAAGCGGTTGCATACCGGAGAAAGACCGTATGTGTGTAGCCATTGCCAGAAAACATTTGTTTCTAAGAAGAGATTGACTGATCATTTAAGAATTCATACTGGTGATAAACCGCACAAGTGTACGTTATGTGAACAGAGGTTTACGCAACGAGGTACCCTGAAGAGGCATATGAAAGTTCACGATAGGCCTGCACCTACAATGAGCTAGATATATATAATGGAACTAGTAGCCTTATGAAATTATATAAATTACTACTAATATGAGCATAGCAGAGGGGTCTGTTCAAGGACGTGGAAAAAAACGCGGACATCTGTCGTATCGCGTATCGTATCGTATCTTGAAACGACTGTGGCATCTGGCTACTATAGTCTTACACGCAGAATACACACACATTGACACGAAGGACATCTGTCGCGTGACATGGCCCCGTCATAACACTTTATACATTACGATGTTGCAAACGCACACATAAATACACCACTGACATCTTGGTGCTTCAGTCATTTCTAAGTGACAGTAAGTCCGCTTTTTTTCAACGTCCTTGGGTCTGTATTAAAAACGTATTTATAATTAACTCCTTTGTTTCATTTGACAAGAAAAATAAATATAAACCAAAATAGATTTGATATACTTACGTTTATTTGAATCTCGAATTAAATCCAAATGAACATACATTTAATGATATGGCTTGGTATTATTTATTTACCTATTCGAAATAATAACAATATTATAAAGGAATATTTTGCTGTGTGCCTTAGGCCATTTTTAAATTTGTTGCGCTTATAATTTTTTAATTATTTCACAAAAACACATTCTGCTGGGGTAACGTTACCCTAGCCAGACCTTTTTCTTTCTAATGGGAATATTTAAATAATTGCTAGCTATAAAATTAGTTGTCTAGATAAGGTAAATGTTGTGCCTTATTTTGTATTTGTTCTTTCATCGGTTGCGAAGTTATTCGAGATTTTGCTGGGGTGTCGTTGTTGGTTTTGCTAGATCTTTGAAATGGTTAAGCGGATTGTTATCATATTTTGTACATAATTATTTAATAATTACGTAGTTTTTTTAACTTGTGTACATATCTGTACTAAATTTGTAATACTATACTACATATTTTAGAAGGTACCATAATGTTCTGCGTTTTCGTAACCACCTAAACTTGGTCGAGTTACCATGGCTTTTTTATTGCTGAACAAATTTAAATTAATTCCTAAGAAGCCATGTAAATAATATGATAAGAATCCGGTTAATCATTTCAAAGACCTAGCAAAACCAAAAACGTTACCCCAGCAGAATCTCGAATAACTTCACAACCGATGAAAGAACAAATACAAAATAAGGCACAACATTTACTTCATCTAGGCAACTAATTTTATAGCTAGTTATTATTTAAATTTTCACATTAGAAAGAAAACGGTCTGGCTGGGGTAACGTTACACCAGCAGGAAATGTTTTTGTGAAATAATTAAAAAACTATAAGCGCAACAAATTTAAAAATGTGCGCAACAATTACAGAAGTCTCACAACAAATTTTCTATAAGATTCAAATAACTGGCCTGGGTAACGCACACTGTTTTGCTCACTATATAGCGCTAATTTATCAACAAGTATTTTTGTCCAACCGCTGTGGCTGTAAAAAACTCAACACTAGCAAATTTCCTGTTGGACGAAGAATGGGGTGCACACTAACACCATCTAGTGAGCAAAAAAATACAGATTTTCTTGTATTTTATGATCTCAAGCATTTCGATATCAGTTCAACTCATGTAAAGATTCTAAATGTCTTGGACCTTAATATTCTAAACAAAGTAACAAAATAAACTAATTTTTACAGGTTCAAACTATGGAATTGACTGAATACCATTAGTCTTATTTTTTTCAGAAAATCTAACAAGAAAATAGAACCTGTAAAAATCTTTCCTTTTTTTAATTTTCAAAAGTGCACAAATTGCTCACACCTTTGAATTATTTTTTTATTACTAATTAAATTATTCAGGTACTTCCGTTTCATCTATACATTTTAAGCCTTTAGGTCAAACATCAGTATTCCACTGTGAATATTCGGCCACAGATCCTTGCAGTCTTGCCCTAAGTAATATATTCTGTGGTTTCTCCGCTTCCTTCTGCATATGTCCTTTCACATGTCGGTTTAAAGCACCTTTTTGTATGAACGCTTGGTCACAAAGTTGACATTTGTGGGGTTTCTCGCCCGTGTGAGTCATTCTATGGGTCCTTAACTCTTTTCGCGCCATAAACCGTTTCGGACATAAGTCGCAAGCAAATGGACGCTCACCTAAAAACAGTTTTCAGATATTTGCACAAAAAACAGGGCCATATACCATTTATTTTCTAAAGGTTTAAGCAAAAAGTCATTAGTTCAACTAAAAGTCCACGTACCTAGTAGGTAGGAGGCTAATCATTAAGCATAATATGATGATGACAATATACAAAGATTCATAAACCAACCTGTATGGGTCCTCATGTGGACTGTTTTAAAACTCTGAGTTTTAAAAGTTTTATCACAGTATTCACAAGCATATGGTTTTTCAGACGAATGCGACCGCATATGTTTGCGTAAATCTCCCTGAAAACACATATTGTTTAATTATATTTATTGTGACTGCCTCGTTGGCCGAGTGATTGCCGGGCAAGGACTCTCGGGTTCGATTCCGGGATCGGGCAAAGTATTACTGAGATTTTTTTTTGGTGTTTTCAGTTCTGGGGTTTGAAAAAATTCTAGACAGATGGACCCTATAAATTAATTAAATGGAAGATTGCTTAATACATACCTTAATATAAAATCTCATATCACAGATCTGGCAGGCAAAGTTCTTAATACCTGAATGCCTAATTAGATGCGATTTAAAGTTGCCTTGATGTTTAAATTTCCTGCCACATTGCATACAACTAAAGTTCTTTTGATCACTGTGAGATTCTATATGAGACTGGAAGAAAAACATTAATTAGTTTGTAAAAAAAAATATTTCAAACATCAATTTAAAGTATGTAAAACACAACACTTTATTGTTAAGGATTATCGTATTTTTTTTTTAGCTTATTCTAAAAGATTAGACTTGCTTAGGCAAGACACCTTATAGCTTATGAACTTAGGTTTCAACTTACCTTCAGATTACTACTCTGTACAAAACTGGCATCACATATATTGCAGACATACTTCTTAACACCAGCATGGATCATTTCATGATTCCTCAGTACATTTAAATAAGCAAAGCTTTTTCCACAAGTCAAACACTGATATTTACGAACGCCTGTGTGTGTGCGTATATGACTTTGGAGGTTACGAACAGCTGGAAACGTCTTGTCACAATATTCACATTTTATATCCGGCTAGAAAATAATAAATAACCAATAATAATATATTTTTTAGGAGATTATTCAATTTCATACACATTATTTTAAAATACCTTTTTACCAAAATGTATTCTCAAGTGCGCTTCGAAATTTTCATATTTTTGAAATGATTTCTCACATTTTGGGCATTTCATTCTTGTCCTTTTCTTCATCGGTTTTTCTAGCTCTCTGCGCTTTCTTATTCTCCTGAAAAATGTTTTTGAAAGTAAGGATGTTGATTGATTTTGTTAAGGTAGAGTGGGTAGGTGACATAATATTATTTTCGTATGCGTTACCCAGGCTATTTCTTGTCGAAAATGGTCATTTGAATCTTATAGATAATTAGTTGTGCGGCTTCTGTAATTGTTGCGCACATTTTTAAATTTGTTGCACTTATAGTTTTTTAATTATTTCACAAAAACATTTCATGCTGGGGTAACGTTACCCCACCTTTTTCTTTAACCTTTTTCTTTCTAATGGAAATATTTAAATAATTACTAGCTATAAAATTAGTTGTGTAGATGAAGTAAATGTTGTGTCAATAATTTAAGATAATATAAGATATATAAGATTTAAATGACCATTTTTGACAACATCTGGCCAGGGTAACGCACACATTATTTTTAATTTATTTTTTATTTTAGTTCAATTACACTGAAGTGGTGAGTGTATCTCGTACACATACCTAATAATTTCAGCTGGTTCCATGGAGCGGTCAGGTGGCATATCATCTTCTGAAGGAGGATTCTGACTGAGCATGTCATCCTCTATTTCTGGCACAGTCATTTCTAAGATATGATTAGGTTTACTTTCCAGTTTAACAGGTTCCTGCTAGAAAATGCATAATGTTAATGTATTATAAGAACTATTGCAAAAGAATAAAAGACCTAATAGACTTTCCACTAAGTTTTCATTATTTTTCAAAGTAAACTCAATCTTATAATTTGTGGTGAAGTTGCTGTTTGTCTTAAACACTAAATTTAGTCTAATAGAAGCTTATTTGGTTCTAACAATAACTTATTTTCTTCTTTAACAAAAAAATATGTGCATACCTCATCTAAAAATTGTTGTTTCAATATAAGGTTGGAGCGAACTGCAGTTTGTTTGAAATAATATGACTTGTTCAGTACATCCAGACAAGCTTGGCATATCTGGCGAGGTAGACCATCACTTTCATCCAACTGCAAAAAAAAATAAAACCTTATTTCAAATTGTATACAATAGAATATTATCAATATTCTATGATAATCTACTGTTATGGTCTATGAGCCTTCTACATTAAGAGGAAATCTGCCCCTTAGACGACCCCCTGATCGAGGGTTTGCCTAAACCCTCTAATAGAGCCAGGCAGCGGGTGAAACGGCGCGGAAATAATAAATTCATTGAATAACATACCTCAACAGAAGTACAGAATTTGTAAACTTCAGGTGTGCAAACCATGAACAAGTCTTTCATGGGCCCGCTGTCTAGTAAGCACGCACGACAGACCTTTTTGAAATCTATCACTAAAACCACTTCCGTAGACATTTTTATATTTCGTTTTACGATAATTATTTATTTATTTATTTTCATAAATAAAAACAACCACCTGACTTCTTGAGATTATGAATTGTCATTTGAATTTGACGTTTGTTTTGTCACAGATAAAAAACTCGTAGTTAAAAGTTAGTAGCAATAATAAAACGTATTGTAATGTTGGTGTTATAATAATAGTTTTCTGTTTACTAAGTAATTGTTGACTTACATAAGTTTATTTAAAGATGGGAAAGAGTTTTTAATTATCCCACTTCATTTTCACGGTTACATTTTAAAACATACCTAATTTTTTGCTCGCCCGAATCGAATCCGCAATTTGCTGTTATTTTCGAATATTACGCATAAGATTAATTTAATTTTTTGTAAACGAGGTAAAGTCGCTGTAAATTTCAGTTGCATAATTTTTTTCAGGAATTTAAAACTATGACAACGTTTGATTAACTCTTTGATTTGGTAACATTGATAAGATAACAAAACTGCAAATTTCTCTCTCTATCCTTTTCTTATCGGCCAATTACGAAAGTAATTGGACAGCGTTATTTAGGTATTTACAAAAATAATTAACTGTATGTAGCTAACTACCTAAAACCTACAATATTTATGTACTAAAGTGCAATAAGAGAACAAAATTGTTAGCTACATTTTCATATTGTTTAGGTATACCTACTTCATCATCAATTATGATTCATTGCACTTAAATATTCCGAAAATACTTTGACTGATGAAGATTAGGAGAATCCTGCAGTCCTACTTAACTTTGACCTCTTTAAATATATTGAACTTGATAAAAAGCTGTGAACCTATCACAAACTAGTTTTTACCTAACGGTATGTTATGGAGCCGTCCGACACACATGCGTACACGTCGACTAAATTGAAGATGTTTAATCCTCATACATTTATGATTGCAGATGTTCGCTACGCTACGTCACTTCATCTGTAGTCATTCAAGTAGCATTGTTAGCGTAAATACATTGATTGGAGGTTATATTTTTACATTTCATCTACAATAATAATTTTTACACAGAATATTTTATTTCGAAAATTTTCCTGACTTAGGCATAGGCATTGGATGACCACAGAAGCAACATAGCTTCATTTTTTCCAATTTATATCCGTGGTGACTGCTTCTTATGCGATGTAGTTGTGTTGTGTGATAATGATAAACAAAGTAAACACGATATTGTTATAAGTCATAAAGTGTAGTGAATTGAATTGGTGTGTAAGTACATAGTACATGTATGTAGATGTTGATAAGAACATTGTTCGTCCAGTCACAAGTTTTCAGCGGCACGGACCGCTCGTGTTTTTGAGTCAAGTTTGTTTACGTCCACGTAACAATAGTAACTGAATATGAGTGCCAACGGTGCAAGCGACGAAGTACCCATCGGAGACATTCCAAACAATGAAAGAATCAGCCGTTTAAAGGGACATTTTATCCAGGAATTCGGAAACGACCCATTGTTTTTTGTCAGAGTGCCGGGACGCGTGAACCTCATTGGCGAACACATTGATTATTGCGGCTACCCAGTGTTGCCCATGGCACTCGAACAGGATATACTGATAGCCGCTGCGATACTAAATAAACCAGAACTTCATGTACGAAATGTAAATAATAAATACAGCAATTACGAAACGGAAATTAAATCATGTGAAGATATAAATATTATTTCGGATCATAACGGTAAACCGTTTTGGTATAATTACGTGCTGTGTGGGGTTAAAGGTGCTTTGGAATTTTTGGACGGTAAAATTACTTCAGGACTACAGCTTTGTGTTGATGGAATTATTCCTCCTGCGTCTGGACTGTCAAGTTCGTCTGCTTTAGTAAGTGCAGCATGCCTGGCTCTTCTGTATGCTCAAAATGTTCCCCTGAGTAAAACGGATATTGCGTCTTTATGTGCAAAATGTGAGCGATACATTGGAACTCAAGGAGGCGGTATGGATCAAGCAATAGCATTTTTAGCTGAGAAGAACTGTGCCCAATATATTACGTGGCAACCCCTGAATGCTACACCTGTGGCCCTTCCCGAGAATGCAGCGTTTGTTGTGGCACATAGTTTAGCAGAAGCTAACAAAGCAGCAACCAACGATTTTAATCGAAGGGTGATTGAATGTAGGTTGGCGGCTAAAATTATAGCTACGTGTGAAGGTGCAGCTACTGATAACAAAATTATTACACTTAGCCAAGTACAAAATAAACTCGATAACACTTTAGAAGATATGGTAAATCTTGTACACAAGTATTTGCCTAAGGAATTGTATACAAAGCAAGAAATATGTGACATTTTAAATGTTAATGAGGAAGAGCTAGAGCAATTTTATTTAACACCAAACACGAAGCATTTGACGGAGTTTAAATTAAAACAGCGCGCTCTACACGTTTACGAAGAAGCCATTCGTGTTGAAGATTTTCGTAAACATTGTTCGCAAACAATGTCGAACGGGACTAAAGTCAACGGTTATGGTGTGAATGGAAATGGGTCTTGTGGAAATGGTGATGACAAAGATATAATTGATGTACTTGGAAATCTTATGTCCGGTAGTCACCACAGTCTGAAAGACCTGTACGAATGTTCTCACAATAATTTGGATCATCTAGTCAATATATCAAAAGAGATGAATGTCCATTCTCGTCTCACTGGTGCTGGGTGGGGTGGATGTATTATTGCTTTGTGTCCAAAAGAGAAAGTCGATAATTATATTGATCATTTAACAGAAAACTTTTATGTAAAACATTGTAATATCGACAAAAGTCAAGCTAAGTCTTATGTATTTGCTACTACTCCAAATCATGGTGCAGAAATATATTTAAATAAATAATTTATTACTAACGAACTTAGGTTCGAAAACTGTAGCTAATATTATTGCTAGTAAGTACTTTGTAATATTGTTATTGTATCCACCGCCTTAGCTATGATGTTTACAATTACGATAACATACCTTTGTTAATAAAATATGCCATATAAGGTGTCAACATAGCTATTTTATTAGGTTGATTTATATCTAGTTAAACGTTAGATATTACCCCTATTTGTAGTATTCGTATTTCTTAATATAGATAACTATTAAAAAAATATTTTAGCTTTACATTTATGTAATTAGAGATAATATTGTATTGTATTATTACTTTCAAAGCAACAGCATTTAATATTTCATTAACGATATTAGCTTTAGAAATTGTGTTTAATCAATAAATAAACAATTATAATCTAATATTTTGGTTTCACTTCTTTAAAATACGTTGCAAAAAAGCAAGGAAATATTATCGATTCATATTTATTTTAGTATGTAATAACCGTAAGATATAGGTAGGTAATTTTACTGATGAAACGTGTACACTTAAAGTAAAATTCACAAGGATCGTCACATTAACTTTATTTGAATTTTTGATTAATAGTTTCTTCTGTGCAAGTAAAGTATCAGACTTCATTCATTAGATAGTGTCAGAACTGTAAATGTGTCTGAATAAGACTAAAAGTATAATTCAGTTATTTAAAAATTGATATAAACAGAATTGGTACTATTTAGTATTAATTAATTAAATAAAATGAAAATAAATCATAATCGAAGTACACTTTATAAATGCAAGCAATAGCCATTAGCCAGCCAGGCCATCTGTCAATGAACATTCAAAAATGTCACTGTCAGATTTTTAATTCGAGATTTCATCAGATTGTTTGAGAAAATGAAAATGTTGAATTAATTTGATGAAAAATAACGTTATTGTTATTTTTTAAAGTGTGATATACATGACTATTACTTGCCCACAACTGCTTTCTAAAAACAGCTGTTATAAACGTAAGTATCGTATTTTGCAACGTCCTACATTGTGTACGTAAATATTTTAATAATTTATGACAATTTTACATCAGATTGTATAATTTCAAATGTTTTATAGCTTGCGAAGGATAAGCAGCTATGACAATGGCTCAGGTATACGAAATTTCCTTTTTGTTGCTATGTGTCAATTCTCAAATTTTTAGGTTATGTATGTTTCTCTACGTACAGTAAATATAGAATAGATTTTAGATCTAAAAATACATTTTATTTAAGGTAACATTGTTGATAATCCTATGTATTTTTGCGACGATTTTTAAACCTTAAACAACCTGTTGAACCTTATTTTGTGTGTTTGTTATTATAAAATGGCAATTCCTCCTTATATTTTGTTTTGCACCTTATTTAATCCTCATCCTTCAATCGAGCATATTGATCCTGACATAGGAACTACTTAACTCTAACACCTTAATTCAATATTGCAGGAAAGTTACCAGAAATTATCTGCAAGTACAAAAAGAAGAAACAGGCGACATAAACTTAAATCAATTTTATCACAGACTCAAAATAATCTAGCAAACAATTCAAATAACATAGACCATAAAAGTCATCCAGAAATAACTAAAGACTCTAACAAAAACTTCATAGTAAACCACAACATCCTAGGAGATGTACAAGATAGCTTATTAAAAAACAAAATAGAAGAAAATATAAAAATGTCATCCACAGATAATAAATCTAGGGATGATGTAATGGCCGCCAGACAGGCCAAGAAGCTGGCCAAACAGAAAGGCAAAGGGAAAGAACCAGTACAAAATGAAATAAAAGAACAAAACATAGCTAAGCCTGTTGCTCCAAAATCAGAGCCAGCGCCATCTACAGAGAAGAAAGTAACAAAAGAAGAACAAAAGCCTGTCAAAGAACTTAATAAGGAACCTACTTCAAAGGGAAAGGATGAAGTGGATAGAGCAGTTAAGGTAGATCCTATAATTGAAGGTGCTGATAGAAGTAAGGAGGATATTAAAGCAGAAAGGGCTGCAAAGAAAGCTGCTAAACAAGCTAAGAAGAAGGGGGCCACAGAAGGAGAGAGAGTAGAAGAAGTGAAGGTTCCTGAAAAACCTGCTGTGAAGGAGGTTAGTAAACAAGTAAATGAAGATATGACTGTCAAAGATGTAGTAGAAACTCTCAGAGATATTGCTATTGTAGCTAAGGAGATGAAAGAGGTGACTGTTAAAGTTAGTGCTATTGATCTAAGTGGTAAAAAGGTAAGACCTGTTTTTAGAATTTGTGTGATACCAGTGTGTGGTGGATATTGCATGTTGTTTTGTCTGGTTGCATTCATTATAGTTGATTTCTTTAGCTAGCAGGTAAAGCTATACTTGGGAGCAAAGAAATGGAGCCACAAGCGTATTCTATGATAAAAAAAATTACATTGAAATGCCCTCATTTTAAAGGTAACTAATTTGCCTTTTATACGACACATGTTACCAATTAATAAAATAATTGTATTAGGAAATATTTATTGAGAAATGAAAAAGACAAAACGCTAGTGTCTCCGTTTCCTAGGTCCCAAGTGTATATTATCAAATATTTTGAGAAAAAGTAAAGGAATTATCTTGCTATCTATTTTATAAACACATTTTGTTAGGTAATGCAATCTATTGTCCGACTTACACCATTCGGTAGATATCTGTGTATCTGTGAAATAATGGTGACTGTATAAAAATTATCTTTTCACATGTCAAATTGTCAATGCAATTTGAAACCTTAGATTATTATTAGCAAATAATTATCAAGGGAACTGTAAAATGTTTCTTATTCAACATACCTATAAGTTTGAAAATCCTTTACCCTTTTTCTGTTGTAATTTGTTTGGTCTTGCTTCTACACATTATTGAAGAATAATAATAATTACAAAATTCTTTATTTGCTTCAGGCTGAAGAGAGTAACAAAAGCAAGGCTGAACTAAAGGCTGAAAGACGTGCAAAGCAGGAGGCTCAGAGAGCTGCCAAGCAAGCTGCACAGGAGAAGGCTGCCGCTGCTGCGAAACCTAAAGTGGAAGCCAAGTCCGCTGAAGGAGATGCTGTTAAAGTCAAAGAGGTATGTTTTATTAAAGAAACAATGAAATTTGGCTTCAACCCGTTGAAATCCATCCCCTAAATTTGGTCATACAAAAGTAGTCTCTAAACATTGGAAATAAGGTCTATAATGTAATGTAATGTTAGAGGAGAGCGGTCACCGGTGACCGCTTGGGGATCTATGGGTTAAGCTTGAGTATTCATACACCTCTAATCAGTTAACCCTTTGAGTACCGTCATTATAGACACAATTAAAAAACAATAGGTGTGCGGACACTGGTGTCCTCGCAGTGTTTGAGAGTTTAAAAATTAAAAATCGCACACGTAACTGCCTGGTTGGTCAACTGCTGACCTTAAAGTTTCGGTTTTAATTCCCAAGTAAGGCAGGTATATTGGATTTTGAAAAAATTACATTCTACCAGCAATTTGTACTTGACATATTACAGAACTACATCCAAGAAATACATTGCTTAGAAGTATTAAAATGGAATCTGAGATCTTGCCTTAGGCTTACCCCCTTATTACATGGGACTCATAACATAACTGATAAAGGAGGAAAAAGGTAAAAGAAGCTGGTACATGAAATATGTGCACCTCTACCTTACCTCCATCTATCTCTTCCGGAAATAAAAAGAGGTGTCATTATAGTATCACTACATAGTATAAAACAAAGTCGCTATCCACTGTCTCTCTGTTCCTATGTATGCTTAGATCTACTATGCAACAGATTTTAATGCGGTTTTTTTAATAGATAGAATGATTCTTAACCCTTTGAGTACCGTATTTATAGACACAATTAGAGAACAATAGGTTGCGGTCACCAGTGACCGCTCGGTGTTTGACAGTTTAAGGAAGGTTTATATGTATGATACATGCACATTGCAACCGCGCGAAGCCGGGGCGGGTCGCTAGTTTAATTATAAAATTTTTAAAACTTATTTCAGGATAAAGCACAAAAACAGAAAACATTAGAGAAAGCTAAAGTGAAGACTGGAAATGGTCATAGAGTCAACTGGTTCCAACATTTATACAAGGAACATGACAAAGAAGCACTCAAGTCTATCGCCATCAACTCCAAGTAAGTCACTTTCCACCTTAACTTTAATGCTGTAAGATTGAGGTTTGTATAGTCATTGAGCACTTTAGGATGTTTTGAAATGTAACAACTGTGGTTAACTTTCCACCTTAACCTTAATGCTGTAAGATTGAAGTTTGCATACTCATTAAGCAGTTTAGGACTTTTTGAAATGTAACGACTGTGTTTATTCCATCACATGTATCCAGCCATTATTTATGTATTTTAATGGTCTAGTAAAGGTCCCGCATTGAATCAATTGCTTTAATAATCCTCTAATTACAATCACAAAAGATCATCAGTCATCATAATTCTACTTTTTTTTATAACTACATATAACAGTTTGTTCTTCCTAACTTCTTAATCCCCGACTATGAAAAATCCACAACGTTTGTTCATACAAAAGTAGTCTCTAAACATCGGAAATAAGGTCTATAATGAATTAAGTGGAGGACTGGGCAGCTTGATTCTCCATTGTCTACTTCATATACACATCTGTGTATATGTATTTTGTAGGCGTCTATCTAGACGCCTACAAAATGTCTCTAGCATTTATTATTATAAGGTAACAAAAGCACTTATTATTATAAGGTCAATTGTTATGAAACCTTGAATGCTTATTGCACCAATTGTGTCGTATTGATGCGACAACGTTATATCGGCGTTTTGTTACGTGTACGTAGAGTATATTTACAGCAAAACTTAACTATATCAGCATTCTAGTGAAAATTAACTATATCAGACGTTTTAAATGTCGATGATTTTACAAAATAATTGCTTATTATTTTTTATATCGTTAGACTAAAATTAGAGTCAGATATTACGATATTCCTTCTGTTTCTTAAAAATATTAACATATCATTGTTTCATACATTTCATTTTATATCAAGCGAAAGTACCACAAGGCGAGATAGAGGCCGAATATCGACACATCACATAAAAAAAAACAAAAAGAAAGCTTATACAAAACAAATAATTATTATTGTGCAAGTTCAATGTAATGTGTTTATAGTATTGTTTAATTTGCAGCTTGCACCCAGCCATTGTGAAGCTGGGTGTACAGTTGGCGTCCAAAGTCGTCAGCGGCTCCAACGCTAGGTGCGTCGCACTCCTCGATGCTCTCAAAAAGGTATGTCATGCATGCAAATCTAAAGGACTTCTGTAAAATATTCTACAGTTACAATCTTTTAGTTAAAGTACCTTTGAAATACTTTGTGCTTTGTTTTTAATTTAGTATGGATTTAATAGCCTAAAGAGTTTCAAGTTGCTTTTTATTATTATCAACTTCCTCTTTGGTTTACAGGTTTTAAAAGCGACTATAAAAATGAGGTCTGAACATTATTGTAGGTTGCGTTAATAGGTATGGAATACAGAATATGTTTTTCAACTGTCCTGTTTTTTTTATGGGATAAGCCGGTAAGCGAGCAGATGGATCACCTGATGGTAAGCAATCGGCGTCGCCCATTGACACCTGGAACACCATAAGCGTTACAAGTGCGTTACCGGGTTTTTGGGATTAGGAATTTGAGGATTGTTGGGGATTTAAGGATTGGGGAAGGGGAAGGAGGGGGGGGGGAGTAATTGGCCTCCAGTAATCTCGATCACACGACGAAACACAACGCTTGCGTTGTTTCACATCAGTCTTCTGTGAGGCCGTTGTATCACTCCGGTCGAGCCGGTCAATTCATTCCGCAGCATGGTTCTCCCACACTTTACTCAATGTTTAATACTATTGATTGTTTCATTGTAGATTTCATATTATACCTATATTTCCTGTTATTGTTACACCAAGTGTCAGGATATGAACACAACTATATTATTATTTTACGGTATAAATAGAACTATGATAGTAATAAATTACGCACATAGGTAGTTCATCTATTATTTATTTATGTCAACTGAAAAAGAGTAACCAATAACCAATATATCACAAAGAATACCATTTGTAGATATTCTGATACAAAGGCCATAGGTTCCCACGACTAGCTACAGTATATCTGTATTAGTTAAAGCAATGACATAATATTAATGATCTTGTAACATATATAGTAAAGTAGTACCTATGCTTCCCAGTCTCTGAAAGTAACAAAAAGATTTTTAGTCATCTAGTTCCAAAATATATAATATAAATATATATAACATGACGCGTTTTTATCCCCGAAGGCGTAGGCAGAGGTGCACATTTCGGCACTTAATGCCACTGTACAATGTAACACCCACTTTTCAATATTTATGTTATGAGTCCCATGTAATAGGGGGTAAGCCTATTGCCATATACCGGGCACAATTCCAGACTCAGTGCTACTACTGAGAATATTTAAAAACCCAGTAATACTTTGCCCGACCCGGAATCGAACGTGAGACCTCTTGCCCGGCAGTCGCACTTACGACTACTTGGCCAAAGAGGCCAAAGAGTAGTATACATAAAAAAAGTCATCTAGTCATATGTGCGTTGCAATTATTGACGGGACAAGGTAGTCAGGTCCTACTTTAATGACCTATTTAAATATTTTTCGGCAGTCATGTCAATAAGGTTTGCACGTAAATAGTTAAAAATTATTTCTTTACAGATGGTACGTGACTATACGCTCCCAGCAAAGACTGAGTTCGCTCGAGGACTTGAGTCCCACCTAGCAACCAGTCTGGACTTCCTATGGGCCATGAGATCACCTTCAGCTTCCCAAACCAACGCCATCAAGTTCTTCAGATACCACCTCACACAGTTACCCAATAACGTCGATGAGTTTGACGTGAGTTACGCTATTTTGAACCTTATTACCTGTTTGTAAATATTAGTTTTGTTTGTTATAAAGTAATGAGATAGTGCAAAGGTTTTCGAATAACAGTCATTTTAATAAGCGCTAATTGATAATGTTTAATTTTATCTGTGACGAACAAATGATGACATACTTAGAAGACATTAACATATTATTTTAAGTTCCTACTATCACAGATATCATTACAAAGAAATTGTAATTAAATAAATTACTTCAAAATATGAGTTTTTTAACCTTTTTTTGAACATGATCAATTTCTCATAAGTAAAACCCTATATTGCGATTTTATATTACACTAGCCGCGCGGTTTCACACGCTCTGCTTAGCTCATATTGGTCGTAGCGTGACGTTTTATAGCCTATAGCCATCCTCGATAAATGCACTATCTAACACAAAAAGAATTATTCAAATCATACTTGTCGTTCCGATGATTAGCGCGTTCAAACAAACAAACAAAAAACTAACTCTTCCGCTTTATATAATAGTATAAGACTAGTTTCTACGGCTTCGCTCGCGTTCCCGTAGGACAAAAAGCAGCATATATTATGAATTACCTACAAATCGCGGGTTACTCACGTGAATATACAGAGAAAAGCTCTACTAGTTTTGAACCACAAAGGGGAGTAGGCTGCGCGACGTTGCCCCGACCCCGCACGCTGCTCATAAGGAAGAACCCTTCTATGGTTCGAAACTAGTAGAGCTTTTCTCAGTATATTCAGCGAGTTTTATTTAATTTAGTATGTGTCACGATAGTTATTATAAAAACATAGCCTATATTATGTTTCGAATTTCAGCCGTTATATTATCCTTACTAATATTATAAATCTGAAACTGAGTTTTTTTGTTGTTTGTTTGTTCCACCTTCACGCCGTAACCACTAGACCGATTGCTTTGAAATTTTGCAGACGTAAAGTTAGAAGTCTGGATTAAATAATAGGGAAAAGCTCTTTATCCCAGACTTTTTATCCCAGAAAAAATGATATTTCCTAGGAAAAACAAAAATATTGGTATAGATGGCGTTGTATGTACTGGTATAGATGGCGTGTATGTCATTTAGAACCAGTCAACGAATTACCTACTTATTGGAAAAATGTAAATAGCGCGATATAACCGAATTCCACGCGAGCGGAAAGCTATTTGTTTGTTTGCCTGTCTTAAACGGCAGAACGGAGGTACTAATTAACGTGATTTTTTAACTGAAGGTAGTTGAACGGATGGATAGTCACATAGGCTACTTTTTATCCTTTTGTGACGCGAGCGAAGCCACCGGTAAAAGCTAGTATGATTAAATTTGTCATGTGAATTGAGTAATAAACATACACACAATTACTCAACGTTCGCAATATAATGTTAGTAAGATGAATGTTATCCTCACACAGGCAAAGAAGACACTGCAGGAAGAGATAGACCGATACATAAAGGAACAAATAGACATGGCGGGCGAAGCTATCAGTATAACAGTGCGCAACAAAATAGCTGACGGAGACAACATACTGACTTATGGATGGTAAGTAACATTCGTTGTATTCTTTTTTATGGCATAAGCCAGTAAACGAGCAGATGGATCACCTGATGGTAAGCAATCGGCGTCGCCCATGGACACCTAGAACACCAGAGGCGTTACAAGTGCGTTACCGGCCTTTTGAGGATTAGGAGTTTGAGGATCGTTGGGGATTCAGGGATTGGGGAGATTGGGGAAGGGGAACCCTAATTGGGCCTCCGGTAACCTTACTCACACGACGAAACACAACGCAAGCGTTGCTTCACGTCGGTTTTCTGTGAGGCCGTGGTATCACTCCGATCGAGCCGACCCATTCGTGCCGAAGCATGGCTCTCCCACACTTAAACTGCTACTTTTATCTCTGTACTGCTTAAGGATTGACTGGAAGACAATGCCCAAAGCATTAAGTCCACCTGTACACACTTGTTGTATTAAGTTCAAATAAATAAATAAATATTAATAAATACTGACTGACTGACTGACTGACTCATTGGCGGAGTGGTCGCAAGTGCGACTGCCGGGCATGGGGTCTTGGGTTCGATTCTCGGGTCGGGCAAAGTATTACTGGTTTTTTTTAAATATTTCCCAGTAGTAACACGGAGTCTGGAATTGTGCACGGTATATGCCAATAGACTCGCCCTCTATTTTATGGGATTCATAACATAAATAGTGAAAAAGTATGTGTTACATTGTACATTGGCATTAACTGCCATAATGTGCACCTCTGTCTACCCCTTCGGCGATAAAAAGCGTGATGTTATATGTGAATAAATACAACTACATATTAATTACTACATCTGAAAGAAAATTAAAAAATAGGCATGGTGTCAAATAATCAAATTAAATCGTTATTGCCTAAAGTCGATTATCACTTTTTCAATCTGGTGCTAATGACATAATTAGCATTTCCGCATTGATATCGAAACCAAACCCTTTTGAATCCAGACAACAATACTTAATACCAACACGTGCCTAAAACACAATAAATAACCATTAACTTTTCAATTGAAATCCCCAGTTCATCACTAATCGAGCGCATCCTCCGCGACGCGTGGTCGGCCGGGCTCAAGTTCCGCACCGTCGTCGTGGGCAACCGCGTCCACACCGGCGCCACCGACATGTTGCGGCGACTGGTCGCGCATGGCCTGCCCTGCACCTATATTGATATTACATCGCTCTCCTCTGTTATGGATAAGGTAAGGTTATGAAAATTGTGTTAATACTAGCTTTTACATAAATGAGAGCTACTGATGGATTTGGCGCCAGGATCGCTAGTATTATAGCAAAATGTCTGTAGTCCAATTCACTACATATTGATTAATATGCAGTCGTTGGACATTTCAATTTAAGTACAGTAATTGGACAAACATGACCTGACGCTACGTTAGCGCCATCTAATTAACAAATAAACTGTAGCCTTTATTATATAGCCCTTCTCCTAACTCCTTCTATCTTTACATGTATATGTATGTCATATGGTCCTCCTATGCAAAACTTTTGCATTTTGATACGACCTTCAAACCTTTTACCCGGCCTGCAACGCACCTTTGACTCCTCTGGTGTTACGGGTGTCCATGGGCGGCGATGATCGCTTACCATCAGGTGATCCGTCTGTTCTTTTGCCTCGAATTCCATAAAAAAATTAAACATTACGTGCTATAAAAATGTTATTAAAAACATACATTAGGTGCTCTGGCAAGACTCAATGTTACTCCACAGTCCACTTTCAAAACACTCTTTTATCAATATTTTTTTGAAAATGTATAAATATAGCTATAAATACTAAATAATACATCCATCTATTTATCCAGGTAAACAAAGTGGTACTAGGCGCGAGTGCCCTCCTCGTGAATGGGTCCGTCCTGGGCGCGGCGGGCACGGCGCAGGTGGCGCTGGGGGCGCAGGCCTACAACGTGCCCGTACTCGTCGCCTGTGAGACGCATAAGTTCTCCGAGCGAGTACAGACTGACGCCTTCGTCTATAATGAAATTGGTATGTCTAATTTTTAAAAATAATATTTAAAAAAAATTAAAAATAATATTTTTATAAAATGTTTAATAATATAAATCTTAACTGCACGGTTGGCGCGGTGGTTGGGCAACTGGCTGTCGCGCAACGTTGTGGATTCGATTCCCGCATGAAACAACTCTTTGTGTGATCCACAGATTGTTGTTTCGGGTCTAGATGTCATATGTATGTGAACTTGTATGTTTGTAAACGCAACCACGATACAGCAAAAAAAAATCTTGTGATATTGCGGGTCTTCATGGGTAGTGCTGATCGCTTACCATCATGTAATACATCTGTTTGTCACACTATGAATTATTTATTATTTCAATTATTTATCAATTATTTCAAAGTCAAAAGTCAAAAAAGTAACACATGTTATTAGGTATTTTTAAATTTTCAATATTCACTTATTTTAATTTTCCTTTTCAAACAGGTGACCCAGACGACCTAATCGACAAATCAGACGAGAACTCTCCACTGAAGGACTGGCGGTCGAACCCTAACCTGACGCCATTAAATCTGACCTATGACGTCACACCACCGAGTCTTGTCACCGCTGTAGTTACTGAACTAGCCATCCTACCATGCACTAGTGCGCCCGTCGTACTAAGATTCAAATTGTCAGAATATGGAGTGTAAATAAATGAAATAAAACAATATGCTAATATTTTTTTGTACAGACTTGCTAGCCAAAGTTCTTCAATTTGTTTATTAGATTTCCGACTTTATGGCAATAGTTTAAAGTTCTAAGTCATTGCAATTATTCTGAGTAAAATCGGAACAGATGTGTTCATATTCTCTCAAGACAAGTTTGGATAAAAAGAAGTGTTTCTTTAGTAATATTCCGAAATTAAACCATATATATTAATAACATTTTAATTTTGGCTAAACACCTATGGAGAAATTGAACAGATTGAAGTTAATCTTTGGTATATCAGAGCGTAGATCTATTTGAGATAATGCGTTTTCTATTGTCTCAATTCTTTTAAATACCGACCTACAAGAGGTTAATTGACCTTCTGGAATCTGTTCTTTATCGAAAGATTAGTTAGAACATTAAACGAAATTTATCGTCGAAAGTAATTACATAGTTCACAAATTGCAATGCAGTTGATTAGTTTACAAAGTACTCATGAACAGTCGTATAAAGAGTACTTTGCGTTTACAGTACTACCTATTATGATAAGTGAAATTGAATTTTTCTCTCTTCGGTACTGTTTTTACTAAATTTACCCTTATGTGGACATTAATACAGTGTGAATAGACTCCAATAAAACTATATTTTTAGTAACATTTATTCATTATCTCTTATTGCCAAATTATTAAGTGAAAAACATATCTTACATATTTGTATCCTACTAAACTTGGTGGACTATAAAATGAACTTGAGGCGTTTTATCTATCCACTTACCAAACTACATCTAGATCCATTCAGCAGTTTTGTGTGAAACACCATTCCAATTTGTAAAAGATCAACTTAGGTATTGGAAACTCATTAGATTCAAGTCCTATACGAAAATACCTATGTACACATAATTACATACTGTAAACAAGCATGTGTACAAGACCTATCTTTTAAATTTAGGACTTGATTACAAAACGATAAAGTTCAAAATTTATCGATTAACACTTTTTTCTTACTAGCGTGAAATAGAAACGTGGTGCCGTTTAGTTACAGGCTTGCTTGTCCGGGCATTTCATGCATTGTGATGCGGTATTCGTCGTACTCGATATAATGAAAAACATCGATACACGCTTGTTCTTTGGTAGTACAATCAATCAATAATATTGACATTCTTCCAATAATGTAAACGCGGGTTTGAAAGGTAATGGATGTTAAGATACTGACGATATATCTTGCAATCTAAGCGCAGGCGGTGTTGTACTCGGAAAGCGTTGTAAATACATTCGTTACCTCTTTTATTTATGTAAAAGCTGTAAAATTTTTCTGGTCAGTTCCGTTGTATTTGTCTGTGTAGATAAGATGTAATTTTATTTTACAGAATCCTTATTAGAATTTGTTTAAATTCTTGTTAGAATTGGAATCCTTTAGCATTCCTACAAATGAGAAAGTATCTATATGTAAACATTGAAATCTCTGTAGCTGATTTATCATGGGGATGATAAACAGGCTCAAATGACCAAGAATGATATTGTAAATAGTTTTTGGATATTGAAAAATAAAATAATTTTTGAACTCATGTTTTTATCTCAACCTTTTATTGAAAAATACAGTTGGTAATAGACTATCAAGATAAATATTCCAAATAATATACAAAATTAACAAATGCTTGAAGGTTTCAATTTCAATAAAACCACAATCGTAATTAAAAATCACTTGTAATCAGCACATAACATTGCACAAGAACTAGATGTGTTTCATTTAAACATAAGTAATAGAAATTAAATATATTAAGTGCTATTTTATGATAAATTTATTCTTTATGAGGATGTTCAGACTTATGAATAGAGAAATCTAATCTTACATAGACTATTACACACAGGAATAAGGCAAAGAGGAATCCTACAACAAGTAGAGGCTCCTGCAACATGAGGAGGCGTGGGAATGTGTAGCGTAGTTGGAAGTCTTGGATGTGGTTCTCCACAATATTCTTCTTACTGAATGAGATCACAGGACGGCCTTTCGTGTCCAGGTAGGTGAAGTGCAGGCTGTCCGGCAATCTAGTTACAGGGTATGGCAGGTTTACTTTCACACTTGTAGAACCTTCAGGCAAGATAATCTTTGTGACCACCTCATCAACTTGCATGTCGTCAAAGATGTGATCAACAATCCTCATCTTCAACAGGTAGTCACTGCCAGATTGATACAAATACTCATAGCTGGGCACATTGTAGCCAAGTGTGTAGTGAGTTCTCCATCCACCAAACAGAGGATACCTAGGTCTCAAGTCCAGCTCGACGGAGTCTTTCTTCACCTTCATATTGGAAGTGGAGATGTTACCATTAGTGTCCCTGTAGTACACATCTGAGGCAGAAGCAGGCAGCAGAGTCTTATAAGACCTGACACTAGCGGGCCCACTGTGGTGATCCTGTTGGTAGTCATAACGGGAGAATGGACCCTTCAACTTGGCACCTGTGTGTTCAATCTCAATGACCTCCTCCACAGCAATATTGCCCCAGTGAGACACCTCAATCAGCCTCTCGACACGTGTGACAGTCAGGAATGGAGCATTGTTCTTGTAATGGATGAGCAATTCCTTCTCACTGAAAGGTTTTAAGTTAGGGTATGGACCATACTGAATCATACCATCTTGTTGAGAGAAAGGTTTCACCTTAGTGAACGTTTCAACGCTCTTAGTGTTTAGAACAACGCTTGTTTTCATAGAAGTAACGTAATACGGCGAGTACGTGTACAAGTTGCCGATGTATTTGACTAGTTGGTCTTCTTGTTGAGTAATGGCTGTGGGGTATGGCAAGAGAGCTTTTGTGAAAACTGTTTCTACTGTGACTAACGGTGTAGCGCCAGAGTTGATGGCATCTTTGAGTTCCACACGCCAGAACCTGACATACTCATATCCCTTTACGGTAGTCTCGACAAGTTTTAAATCTTTATTGTTGCTATCCTTGGCACCAACAAATGCAACATTGTTCTTTGCAGATTCTTCAATGGCTATCAGGAAATTCTTTACCGGCGAAGCACCAGTGTTCTCCAAGGTTATTTTCGATGTAATTTTTACGAGTTGCGACGATATATCTACGAGCCGGTCGACATTTTTCAATCTTATATCACTAGATATTGAGTCGACATTAGCACTTTCACATTTTATTAAGATGTAAAGTAAAAATACAAAAGAAATTCGTAATTTAGCCATCGCCGGCAACATCTTTATTTTTGACATTTGACAACGCAATAATCGGAAGTACACGCCATCAGAATTAACCGGAAACTCATAAATTTATGGTACCACTTGTCTATAGTATCTGAGTTAGTCGAATTTTGGGGCACATCTCTAGTTCTTAGTTTTTTCTTGTCATTCATTCATTCTCATTTCATTCGAACGTTGCAAACCATTCATTGTGTGTAGTGCATTCATTCATTCAATTTCATTCATCCAATCGCGACGGTGATACAAATTACGATTTTGTCGTTTCGTTTATTTTTTAACTTTCATCGCTTCACAGAATCATGTTGTGTGCTAGTAAATAGACCGAAGACAATTTAAAATATTCTGTTTAGTGACACGAACTCATTCTGTAAAAATAAACCACTTTCACGTCGATTATTGTAAAGTGAAGTGAATTTACAGCGGAAATTCGAGGTTTCGATAGCAAACTTTTAACTTGTTTTACGAGCCGAAGCAGGGAGCCCGAGTGGTAATTTGTGGAGCACTTGTCGCAGGAAGTTCGAGATATCAAAGATGATAAGTCTATTTGTTCGTGCAAGCCTTGCACTACTCGGTAAGTGGATAATTGATATTTATTTCTGTTATAAATGTTGAATTATTTAAAGACTAGCTGGTGTGAATCCTGGTTATAATCATACTATTATTTAATCATCATCATTAGTACGTCAACCACAATGTTTAGAATAGGTCACCTTAATTCATATCAAACAGTAATAAAATTTGTTCCCTCCAATTTCATTCAGTATCTATCTCATTAATTTGTGGTAATTTTTGTAGCCGTGATCTCCGCTTTATTGCATCGTTATTAATTTTTATTTTTATGTTGTTGCAGTTTTCAACGCATTGTTGACTCCTGCGGAAGCATTTCGGAATAGGGAGACAAACTATGGCACTTATGAAAGAGGCTACAACAGTGACAATGGCTACCCTAAAACAGTAGTTGGTACTTCATCTGGACTCCCTACACAGCCCCCTACTCGACGAGGTCTAGGCATATCGGCATGGGGTATAGTATTCGTAGTTGTGGCCCTCATCTTGGCCGGAATGGGACTATACTACTTTTCCATCTGCTATGGTATCTGCAGACCGACCACGAAAAAGTATGACAAAATGGGCATGCCCACCTTAGCTTAGTGTACATATTATTGCCTGGCTTGGCCCTGTGATTAGATATTTTCCAAGTATAGGAACTGAACACTGATAGTGTTGTAACAATTTTATATTCGAAATTTATTTATAGCAAATGCTGATCTGTTGTAGCATGTTAGCTAATTTGTAAATTAGTGTAAAACAAGGACTGACAATGTCTCGAAAATGGGAACATAATTGTAACATTCCCGCTTATTATTAAGGTAAATATTAAGAGAATGAATTATTTTTAAAATATTAAAATGTCACAAATGTTAGATTTTTACGAATGAGGCCACAGAGTGAATGAACATATCCTGTAGCAATTAAAAAAGTAAGCCTAGAAAGTAAGGTTGTGACCTACATTTACAATTTTTATAAGCAGTTAATGCATTTTTTGATAAATTTTAGGGTGCTACTTACTTTGGGATAAATTTAATGGCTTTATTATCACAAAAGACTGTTTCGGACCAATAAGAAACAAAATCATATACATATCTACATTTTTGTAGTAGTTTAGATGATATTTTATTCATAGCGTCTGTACCATTAACGTGTTCATTAATGGTTGGCGGTTTTAATAATTAAATATTAGATGAAGTTTTATGACTGGTAATTAGCAGGATTATCTACAATAGTAATTACCTCAGACCAAATAGGTGCCATACAAACGAGTACATCACCATATTTTCCTCATTTTGTGTTGACACCATTCTGTTGTAATCTAACTTTATTTAAGATGGATGTGAGTCACTGTTATCAAAAAGGCAACAACTGCAAAAGATAAATTCACTAGACTGACTGATTTTACAATTCATGATAAAAAGAAAGTGATAAAATCAATTATTACGCTCCAGCTATGCAGAAAATTGTGAAATGCAACAATATGAAATTCTTTTTATTTAATAGAAAAACTATTTTGTAATTTATTAAACCATTGTTAATTATGACTGTGTTATCAGCCAGTGTTACTGGAATTTGAATGAGATAGAATTCAACACATTATATAACTTGTTATGTAGAGCTATTAGCTTGTCTCATAGACATTAATTAAGCCAATTAAGCCTTTTTATCAATGTAATCCAACATGATACTGCCTGAACATAAATCCTATAATATGTAAGACTGTACACAAACTAGAATAAGTAAATCATAATGTTCAAAACCAATGCTCAAATAAATATTGTTATGTACACGATTATGTGGTTTTAAATTTTCCTGTTTATGATTTAATTGTAATTGAAGGACAACAGTAAATAATAATAGCACCATTCGTAACTACATTATTATGTATATATAAATATATATTATGTATATTCAGTGGCGGTACTACTGGCCGATTCGGAGTCGCGGAGAACCTAACGGGTAACCGGGGCTCCGGCTCGACGTGCAGGAGAAGGAACGGGGTGGTTTTTAGTCAGTGAGAGTCTGACACTCCCTTCCGCCTCACCCAGGCGGGAGCAGTCATTCGATGATTTTCCCCCCTTAAAAAAAAAGGGTGGCAAGTCTGCAATTTGCCACGGACCTCAGCTAGGTGGGGACACCATTCAGAGGTTTTCATCTGGACTCTCTTTTTTATGATTGTTAGGCCTCCACTATGATGAATTTGCCACGGGCTTACTTTGATATAGTTACAGCACTATGTTATAACTAAAATACTATGTAGTGATAAAATTACAATATACAATACCTATTACAGGTTGAACAACATTGTATAGTTTACACTGTCCTCAAATTCAGAGTTATCTTATCCAAATATATAAGAGTAACGAGTTTTGTCGGGAGTAAATGTGTCGCGAGTTCCGTCGCGTCGTGATTTATGGCTAACTATCGTTATCATTATCACGGACAGCTCCAGGTGTACATTAAGCCTAACAGCATTTCCATTTATCAATACTCAGTAAGCCGGATAGATGACAAACAAAAAAACATAACAACTACAAATGACCAATCATTCATTTCGTAGTAATTTGTAATTTCCCAAATACCGCTAAGTCTAAACTATTTCACGGATGATTAAATTTAAGGTGTGTTTGCTTACGAATTTCGACTTAAATGTTGATTATATTGATACGATAAGTAATAAACAAAATCAATAATGACGAGTTGCGAATTTGCGATAATGATTATAAAGACATTCATCATTTTTTTCGGAAGTGGGTAGTTTATGTAGAACGACCTCATGCGGTTACGTCATCATCTTCAACGGCCGAAAGATGGCCACTGCTCGACAAAGCCTTAAGTCCTCCACGTCGAACGACAACTTGCCACTTGCATTTACGTACTTACGTCATAGAAATTTCATTTCGTCATTCAAGACGATGGCGATGACGTAAAAACAATACACTGACTATGGTGACTAAAATTTTTCTCCGTATTTATGAGCAAAAAATAAGAACAGAATATTAAAATTGACATCAGGAAATAAACAGGTTTTTAATATTTACGTCTGTAGATGAAAATAACATAGAAGTCGTTCTACGGGCGGATGTCATAGATTCTCACGGTCCCGTGCAAAATTAATGATATTATCCAACTATGCAAGAATGAAATTATTATCACTATCCTTCTATTAAGAATTCTAGTTTTTAAGATCATTTTGATGTCAAATCTAAAGGTCTCTATGAAATAATTTTCAATATATTTTGTCAAGACATTACATAATCCTGCCAGGAGAGGAATCAATAAACATAATGTTATGTTGTAATTTGGATTTTTATATATCTTTATCAAAATCCAAAATATCTCGAAAACTAGAGGCTGGTACCTACGGTACGTAGCTATTGGTGCACCGGGGTGGAATCACCTTGGATGCCTTGGATTCGCCTTAGATTTAGTGGGCGGAGTGGGCCTACTTATAAAAATATCAAATCCATGTTCTCGTTGCAGTTCAACCCTAAGTCGAATATGGGTCTGCACAAATTGCTTTTTTTAAATATTTCATGGGTCGACGTTTGACCACTATCTCGCCTGTTGGTAAGCGATGATGCGGCCTACGATGGAGCACGTCGTCCCATAAGCAACATACCTATTCACTCGGGCCTTGAAGACTCCCAGGTAATAACCCTTCAGGAAATACAGACTCTGGCAAAGAATTCTACTCCTTAGCAGTACCTACAAGGAACCTTGATGCGAAGCGCTTCGTGCTTGTGGGTAAGATATCCTACCTTGAAAAAGCGAAGTGCTTGTTAGTTTACTTTCAAATACCCATAAAGGCAGATGCAGTGCATCTTCCTTAATGTAATGCTTTTTTTTTGTTATTATCTTATTCTCCTCTGGGAATGAAAGTACTGGTGAATCTTGTGTAATATTACACATTAATAAACTACTACCTACTGAGAATTTTTGAAAAATCCAAAAGCACCTAAATTACTTTGCCAGTCAGAGAATCAAACCGGAGTCTCTTGTTCGGCAGTTACGCTAACTACTGTACCAATGAGGTAGTCACGTATACAGTCCATGGATTAATAAGGGCTAAGGGCTGATTTCTCAATCATCAGTAAATTCTTAACTGTGTAATGGAAGCATGATACATATTCAAAGTTATTCCTCAGTTTAAATTATATAGCGTTGGAAAAACGGCCCTATAGTAGTAGTTTATGGGTGCCATTTAAATATACGCATTGTGTGAAGGTTGTGTCGCACAAAATTATCATTATAGATAGTACAATCAAAGTATGGAACAAAGCACTATAATTTATATTGTAATGGCGTATGATAGTATCACACTTTGCAACCATTGACATACATTACCATACTCGAGCCGCTAAGTACCTAGTTGACTTGATATTATCACAGTTTAACTTTTTGTGATAAAGAGTTCCGAAGTGTGCTTTACACCTCATTGCCAGATTACTCACGTCATTATGTTAATAAAAAACAAGGTTAAATGACTAAAACGTGAACATTCTTGATGTTTAACTATTTTCCTACTTGAAGGACATCACGCAAATATTACTGAGAAGTAGAGTGAGTGTGTGACCATTAACAATGGACATTGTTACATACATGTTGTGTTTATCATATTATGTATTTATATATTGTTAGAAGTAAACCACATTTTAAATTTAAAACATGTATTTTATATATTAAATTTTCCTTATTTGTTATTTTCCCAGACGTCAAGCATATGATAGTGCAACATTATGCACAATGGGATTTACAGGGTCCATTGAAACAGGAATAAAACAACGAAATACTTAATTATATTAAAAATTTATTAGCGATTTTACAATTCATAAAATTATCCAAAATATCTCCTCACAACAATTATAATAAAAGCTTACCACGCTAAACCAATTATTGGAAGAATGGCATATGGAGAATTAATTCCAATCATTAACTAAAAAAGGTATCAGTCCTTTATATTTTGTATCATGAAATGAATAAGTAAAATGATTCAGAAACATCAGTCATTCCATCACCCGCTAGAGCCGAGCTTGCAAGCTCCAAACATAACATTTAGTTACAATTTGTGATCTTCGGATAGGCTAAAAATATCAGAAAATAAAGTAAACAATATATGATGGAATCAATGCCGGATTAACCATGTCGCAGAGTAGGAATTTCTACTGGCCCTGCAAAACTAAAATCACCGCCTTATTGTTTTAAGTAAATATGTCAGATCGAAGGGACCTGTAGATACGACTTTTACTCATGCCAAATCCAGCACTGTATGGAATAAATACTTCCTGTAGTATCGCATAGTATCAAACTATGTTAATTTATCTAATAGTAAAACTTCACTGGCTCACTTCAATAAAATACTATTCATAAATGCTCGAACCTGCAATCTTTCTATAAAAGCAGAGATTTGATATGAATTGGTGCGTTCTCACTGCAGATAATTTCAAATGCACTCAACCACTGGTAAAGTTTATGAGGTACGAGTATCTTTTAGCGTAGCTAGGATTTGGAACCTTCTAGAAGTAATTCAGATGATTTTTAGTATGTATCGAACTTTGATCTCAATACTGTATTTTACAAAGGATATTTCTGCCTAGCCACGCTTATCTAAGTCACTCTTTGCACTTATAACTCGTCCTTCTCAAGGTCTACGTCTGAGAGGTCGATGTCTTCTTCCTGTGGCAGCTCACCATCCTTGCCGTCCCAAGCGTCTGTAGACACTATCTTGGGCATCTCAGCACCTCTGACTGGCGCAGTCTGGCCGCGACCGAATGATAAGTCCCTGTAATCAAGAATGCCTTTAAAATTCCTGATAATAAAAAGGCGAGCATGTATTTTGATCCTATTCCTATTTCGTATGGTTGTATGGTATTGTATGTAATGGTTGTCTGGTAGATAGACCCGATTTCATACCATTTCAAAGTTATATTTTTCATAACATAACAAACATAACATCACGCCTTTTATCCCCGAAGGGGTAGGCAGAGGTGTACATTACGCCACTGTACAATGTAACACCCATTTTACACTATTTATGTTATGAGTCCATACATATTTTTCATCTTGGTTAATAATTACATACATACAAGAGGTAAATAAACAGGTAAAAACAATTCTATAATAAGTCTGGCTATAATAACCTACGCTTGTGGGGAAATACTTTAGTTTCATGAAATGAAATTTATTACGGAAAACCGTCCAATGTTTCCTCGAAGCCCGCATAAATTTTATCTTACAATGAGTAAGTTTTTGTACAAATGGTTAGTGTGTTTGGTCAACAAATACTTTTTGTGCAACTTCTTTCAGTATCATCTAATTAAGGTGTAATTTGAAATCGAAAAATAGAAATAGACTGTATTAGCATATTGGTTTTAAAGGACGCTAATGGAGTACTAGACTTGCATTTAACCAACAACATAACATAACATCACGCCTTTTATCCCCGAAGGGGTAGGCAGAGGTGCACATTATGCCACTGTACAATGTAACACCCACTTTTCACTATGTTATGAGTCCCATGTAATAGGGGGTGAGATGCATTTAACCATTATCATAATAAATAGTAATTTAAATATAGAAGATCCAACAGTCAAACTATTTATATATAGTTTTGTTGGACATGGCGTTAGATTATAAGGCATAACCTTTATTATTAATAAATAAATAAATAATAATAAATTTGATGAGCACGTCTCCCAAATCGACAATGACATAAAAAATATAATTTTTCACTAACCTAAGGAATTCATTGATACCAATTTCGGAGAATGATCCCCTAAGTGTTGAGAACTTGAGTTTCTTAGCGTTAACCACTGCCATAGCGGGGTAGCCGAAGCCGCCGAGTTCCAGAGACTCTTCCAGAGCGAGCTGTGCACCAGCCTCTGCCCATATCCATCTGGAAATAAACATATAATTTAGTATAACATATTATTCTTATCTATACAGATAAATAAAATTGGAGTCTGTTTGTAATATTGAAATAACCGCTTTTTACTACATGCGTATGAATATACATACAATACATATAAGACTTTTTGCAATTTTTGTCTCTCTGTTTGTATCTTTGAAATGGCTGGACCGATTTTGTCGGGACTTTAATTTGCTAAGCTAATGTATTAAGGAGTAACATAGGCTACTTTGATTTTAAAAAAACGCAGACGAAATTGCCTATTCAGCTAGTTTTATAATATAGAACAGACATATTCAACCCACACTGTATTGTGTAGAGTAACGAAAGAAGTATACAGAGCGGATATGAATGGGGCCGTCGGTAGAGGGCGCCGTAGACGGACATATAGTGACCAGATTGGCAATATATTAAAAAAGGGCCAAATTAAAAGTACCCTTAACCGACGAGCATGCATGAAAAGAGTGATCACTGTTAATGAAGCTAAAGAGGTATGTAAGAATCGTGGTAATTGGCGTTCCTTAGTCTCTGCCTCGGGAGACCGGCGTGAAGTTATGTATGTATGTATGTACTATATTGTGTGTCGAGATTATATTAAGCTCTCTTATGTAACAGGGGTCCATATAGTCCTACAGCGGATTGCTACAGCAAAGAGGCTGTTATTAATCGACCTCAAAAAAAGAGAGAAGGAGGTCTCAGCTTGACATGTATGTATGTACGTTTGTTGCGCGATTATCTCACCATTGGCGGAACCAATTTTGATGCAGTTTTGAGTGTCTATTACATTTAGGAGAAGGTTTTAGTATATTAATTAACTGCCTTCAAAAACAAGGGGATTGAATTTATGTAATGTATTGTGACTCTGTAATGCTAGTTTGTAAGTTTTTTGTATTAAAATTATATAATACTAGCTTTTACCCGCGGCTTCGTTCGCGTCACAAAAGAATAAAAAGTAGCCTATGTGACATATACCAATACACACAGCGCCATCTATACCAATACTTTTGTTTTTCCTCGGGAATATCATTTTTTCCGGGTTAAAAAGTACCCTATTATTTAATCCGGACTTCTAACTTTACGTCTGCAAAAATTCAAAGCAATCGGTTGAGTAGTTACGGCGTGATGGTGGATCAAACAAACAAACTCACTTTAAGATTTATAATATTAGTAAGGATTTCCTTGCTGTGCCCGACAGCATATACACATAATACAGATCGCTGTGGTCCACAATGATCTGTATTATTCTGTGTTACCACCTAAGTAAAACATTGTGGCACGCAATAAAGAATTTGAATTTGAAGTCGATTTTTTGAAACGCTGTTCATATAAGAATTATTTTTAATAAAAGAGGCAAACGAGCATACTGATCACTTGGTAAGCAATCAGCAACAGCCATAGATACCCTGCATAGTACCCTAGTACCGCCATAGATATTATCAGAAGAGTTACAAGTACATGGCTGGGATAGGAAAGGGAGAAGAGATACTAAGGGTACGGTATTCTCACTCACACATCATATAACGGCATACTTTGCCAGTGTTACTTTAGGAAAACCCACATCTTGTTACCATTTGATTTTCTATCTATACATATAATAAAATCGTGGAAAAGCGCAAACAGTACATTGACTATTTTTAAAGAATGCTTAGGGTGTGATCTTCAACCGGCACCGAAACTAAAAATATGGTTTATAGAATTTTTGTGTGTTTGTCTGTATGTATGTATGGGCTAAACTCAAAAAGTATTACATGGATTTACTTCAAATTTTTGCCTGAATATTACTAACAGGTCGGGTTAACATATAGGCTACATATTATCACGTTATCACCTACGGGGGATAAGCTGTGAATCACTATGCCACGCGAACGAAGTCGCGGGTAAATATAATTATAAAGAATCAAGATTCAGAAGAGGAAGATCAATCAAGGTTGAAGATAGTGTATTATTAAAAAGTTTTATGTAGCTTATTCTAATAGGGTAGTTGCCAGTGTATGAAAATTAAAAATCTAATTAGTCCGTCAGTTAGGTAATGAAAAAATATTAGACACGTATTTTTTTATTTTCACGTATAAAGTAAATCAAGTTACATTACTTAGATAAAAAATAGTGTTAAGTTTAGGAGTGAGAGGTCGTTACGTCACAATGTGCTACAAAATGTAGCACGCTGTGACGTCACATGATATTTGAAACTAATATATCGTCGAAAGCATTTAATTTTGTGAGAAAAGAAATAGTACTTGTCTAATGTTTAAGATTCATCTACCAGACGAATATTAAAATAAAATTTAGGAAACTACCCTATTGTAAGTGTTGTACTCACCCCCACATCTTGTTCTTGTACTTGTCCCCGAGACGGGCGAGTATGGCGAGGTAGTCGTTGCGACAAGCCGCGTTACAGTCGAGGATGTGAGGCAGCACTGATACCACGCACAAAGGCTTCTCGCTGCACGCCTGCATCGTTGCTTCGTTCACAACCTGCATGAAACAAATAGATATATTTTTAAGACTTTGACTGCCAATAAAAAAAACTGTTGAAGGTAAATCCTCCGCTAACGCCGGTCACCGATGACCCCCATGGCGTTTAAGGTGTTAATTATTGAGATATCTTTAACTGTAAGAACTTCTGAGAACGTACTTTTACAGGATATGGAGAAAACGAGTCGACTGACAGACTGACAGACTGACCACCCGATTGTAAACAATCAACGGCGCCCTTAGACACCAGCAACACAATAATGGTTAGAAGTGCGTTGCTGGCTTTTTAAAAAGAGTACTCTTTTCTAGAACTTTCAAATTCATATATCTTATTATATGAAGATTAAACATTCAAATAAATAATAAAAGGTAGTTTATTCTGGTATAAGGTTTATAACAAGTTCTAAAATAAAACTTAATACGATGGGAGGAGATTTATAATTGATGGATCGAGTATGTATGCATGAATATATCGATAGATGTCGCTCTACGAAGATTAAACTGTCAAACACCAAGCGGTCACCGGTGACCGCAACCTATTGTTCTTTAATTGTGTCTATAAATACGGTACTCGACGAGTTAATTGAAAATATCGATGGATATGGGAAAAACTAAATGACAATGATAGGTTTGAGTTTTCTAAACAGTAGTCAGAAGTGCACATATACATTGCTAAACCAACTCATCTAGTTATGTTTAGATGAAAGAAAAGATAAATAAGTGAAAAGCCTAATGTATTTACATACCCTAATGAGTGATGGGGTTGAACTATTTGAGATATCTAACATACTTACGCCGGAATACTGAAACGTTACTCAATTTTAAGTCGTGCTTAAATATCGTGCCGTCTCTGTCATTTATCAAAGAATTTGTAGTGACAGAACTAAACTTAAGCGTGACTTAATATTGAGTAACGTATCAGAATTCGGGCGTTAATAGTTTTTAACACATATTTGGCAATAGTTACGTAAACCAACATAAATAAATAACTACAATAGGATGTGTAAAAGTATTGCTATCTTTTACTAACAGGCTGTACATGACAGAGACGGACTCGGTGCGGTCTCAGCGCAAATTTCGTACCAAACAGCTATCATTAAGTTTCGTACTATTCGCTTGTTTCACCTGCAAGTAAAATATAGCAATGATTGAATGATGAAACCTAACTAATATAAGAAATATACTAATTTCAGTTCATTAATAAATAGTTTTGCGATGATGGCTGAGATATTATTTTTTCACTACCAGTATTAGAATAGTAGAGAACTATTTCCGCTGGTGTCGTCAAAACCCACTTAGGGGCCGCAGCTACGCTTTTTTTTTACTTTTTTTTTTTAAGGGGGGAAAATCATCGAATGACTGCTCCCGCCTGGGTGAGGCGGAAGGGAGTGTCAGACTCTTACTGACTAAAAACCACCCCGTTCCTTCTCCTGCACGTCGAGCCGGAGCCCCGGTTATTTAATTTAAAAGTGAAGCTATTTAGCTTCACTTTTAAATTAAATTATAAATAAATTAAATTTTTTTTGCTGACGTTCAAAAGTGTCTTCCTTGTCTAATTGAAAAATCATTTTGACTTCGACTTTGGCTATTCTGTAACTTTCAATTCGAAACATTGAAGTGAGCGGTCCGCCATGTTGTGAGAATAATCTCGACCAATGACGGGCGCAAATGATTTAATAACCTGAACCTTTTGAATTTGTGATCTCCCACCCGCCTACCAAACAAGAAGATTATGGCAAACTTCTTTTACATAGAAGCGGCCCATAGTCCAATAGTTGCTTTACCCATTTCAATATAGGAGTTAGAAATACCATGAAAGTTAAGCGACCTTGTAATTTAAAGCTTTTTAATAGCTAATGGTATTATTTATTTTATTTTTTGATTCCCTCTAGTTGTTTGAAAAACATTTTCAGAGACCTTCAAACAAAAATGCAATTTATTGGACTGTGTTATTTTGATACTATCATCAGTCATGGTAGCAGATTGCATGTAACAATTTAATACAAACATAAATATTTTTTTACTGAAACATACTATCCATTTAGGTTTTTTGTTATACCTAACATAACAAAATCTTGTAAAACACACAATTTCTATTACGACTTCTTTTTTATACTTATTCAATTTTATACAAATTCACAAAGATTCTGTCATATAATTTATAATTTATGTTATAGATAGACAAAAATGACGCTATTTATTTGTTTTTATTTTATTAAGTTTTATACAAGGTTTGTTTTTTCTATCGCATTGGGTCCTAAACCCGTAATGTTAACTTGTGTGTGTAATAAATAAATAAATAACAATATTTGTGTATTTTGTGCACAAAATATTTTCCATTGAGTTTCATTATATTACGTTTTCACACAACCTCTCCTTTTTAGGGTCACGCTATTAACTTTCAGGGATAGATTAGAGAGAATAAGCAATATTTTGTAATTCACAAATGAAAACTTATCTATGTAATGTTTTCAGTAAACTTGACACACTTCTTACGTTACAATTTCTCATGAGAAAAGTTTTTTTGTAAATATTGAAGTGTTCCTTCTTTAGATTTTCTCATGATTAGTTGGAATTAGTATTATTGAGTTATAATTCGACATACATGCTTATTAATAAACGAAGTTATTTATGTGGAGATACTAATGAGAGTTAGGTCCATGACCTATGGAAAACATGAGGAAATTGAAGTCAAAATTCTATCTTTATCGTTGTTAATTTAAATTGTGCAAGGGCAACTATTCGATTTCTAATCATTGGGTTCTTGATTTTTATATAATACTAAGTACGTAATAAAAAATTAGACTGCCTCATTGGTCGAGTGAACGCAAGTGCGACTGCTGGGCAAGGGGTCTCAGGTTTGATTCCCGGGTCGAGCAAGTATTATTGGGTTTAAAAAAAATCGCAGTAATAGCACGGAGTCTGAAAATGTGCTCTATATATGGCAATATGCTTACCCTATGACCCTATGACCTAAAATAGTGATAAGTGGATGTTACATTGTACAGTGGCATTAAGTGCCATAATGTGCACCTCTGCCTACCCCTTCGGGGAAAAATAAAGTTACGTTAAAATTAGATGAAATTGAAAATTAAAGCAATTTATTTTTATAGAAAAATCATAAACATTTACTAGCGAATTTAGTCAGTAGGTACCGCGGAAATATATAATATTACTTGTACAATTTGGCAGGCATGTTAGGATCGATTATTTCCTAATACAAACATGTTTAGATTAGCCATTGCAAATATAAGATTAGACTAAAATTTAGTGACGATACTCCATTGTGAGTTACGTGATGTTTAGTAATGACATTTCAAACAATAAATCATCCGTATCACATTTAATATAAACAAATAATAATCAGAGTTCTTATATAAGCCGCGAACAGTTATTGTGTTTACATTCGCGCTGCCGCTCAATCGCAATAAAGTTCAGTTTACGACATATTGGAAATGGTGCAAGTTCCTCGATCCTCTTAGTCAATGTATAGACGTCGTGTGTAAAGGGTGTCAGGTTTTTTTTTAAATTGTTTTTTTTAATCTCGATTTAGGAATTATGTTGAAGGAAGTGATTTGTGCCGCGAGGACCGAGGTTTGTGATTAGATTGAATTTGTTTTTATAAAATGTGATTATTATTAGTATTCTTAGACTAGAAATATATATTTTCTTTTTTTCCGAGGTTATAAAAGTTCTGTATAATTTTATTAACAAACAATTTTTTTATTCTGTTTCTTTACCTATCATGAATTTTTATCGATTTTAAACTATTCCAGAGTGCCATATTTCTTCAATTCAAATTGAACTTTACGTACAAATCAATAAAGTAGACATTCTACTAAAAAAATGGGCACTTGGGAATAGCTTGATGAGTCGATGTCTGCTAAACTAATTTATTATCAGACAGAATATTTAAACCACATTAGCTATAAAAATCTAACAGGGTGTGATTGGTGATGTACACTTGGCAGCAAAAAAACGGAACCACCAGCGCTTTTTCATTTTATCGAACTCCCGATAACTTAGAAAAATCCTTTTACAACAAAATGCTCTCAATTAACTAAAATCACAGGTTACTCACGTGAATATACTGAGAAAAGCTCTACTAGTTTCAAACCACAGAGGGGTTCTTCCTCATAAGCAGCGTGCGCGGTCGCGGCGACGTCGCGCAGCTCACTGAGCTGAGCGAGCGTATCACGTATGTCTCACGATAGTTTTTTAAAGGTAACTAAATTGCCTTTTATACGACATATTTTTTAATGGGTCAAGCCCACACCTTCCCAAAACCCCTGCAACTCCTGTAAGCCAGGCCATTACGTGTATCAGAAAATATTTATCAAGAAATGAAAGAGAAAAAATGCTAGTGGCTCCATCTCTTTGATCCCAAGTGTAGTTATATGGAACTCATAATATAACTGCTGAAAGCGTGCACAGTCTACCCCTTCTGGAATTATTAACAACATCAAAATGTAAGTCTCACCTGAATAATCTCCGGAGCTGGTACATTCTCAGCCAGCTTTTCAAGCGCGAATGACACGATGTCACTGGAAGTCCTGCCTCCATTGTAGTCCTCGGCAGAGGCGTACGTCTTCTTGCCAGATGGGAAGTACTTGATGGTTGGGTAGCCTTGGACTTGGAAGCGGCCGGCCATCTCCTGGTGAACCGTCGCGTCAAGAGCTCCTACTTTCACCTGGAATGTTATGAAGGTAATTGTGAATAGAAGTTTATTGTCTGTAATGAGAATTTATATGATAACAGGAACCTAACCAACGCTGGTATTTGATTATTGTCTTACCTACCAATATCTGATTTTAATTTTTTACTGGAACAATGAATAATCATCTTCATCGCTTGCCACCAGGCGAGATGGCGGTCAAACCTCGGCCCATCAAATACATAAAAAAAACATGAAATGAATAGTCCTAAATTTTATTGTAATGTCCGCTTGGTACATTAATTTAAAACTTTAGACACGTATTTTTTCTTTTCTCACTAAATTAAATACTTTCGGAAATATATTAATTTGAAATATCGTGTGACGTCACAGCGTGTCACATTATGTAGCACGTTATGACGTAACGACCTCCCACTCCTAAACTTATCGCCATTTTATCTAAATATTGCAACTTAATACGAGAAAATAAAAAAATACGTGTCTAATAATTTTTCATTATCTAACTGACGTACTAATTCGATTTTTAATTTTGATACCCAGGACACAACCCAATTAATATAAATTGTCTTGTTTTCTTAAGTAATTTCATTTTTACCAACACATACCCTTACATACCAGCTTTAATAAAAAAGAATAACCGCAATCTTTGTTACTCAATTAGAAATCAAAGCTTATACACGTGTGTACGAAACTGATTAGAAGTTGGGTTTTCACTAACAATAACAATGTGATAACCGACATAAGGTATTAATTACCTCTTAAAAAATAATGTATTAAAACTGAGCGTAAATTACCAATGCTCGAATTATCAGAATATAAGCTAATGGACTTTGATAAGCGAGCGCGAAATTGATTAAACGCTAAATTTGTTTCGCTTATTAATTAACGATACTTTATATGTGCCACGATTTTATTTCTGTTTAATTGTTAAAGACGATCGTAAATGGCGATTATAGTTTGACGAAAATGTTATTCAACTGTAGATGGGTAATTAGAGACTCATAGATGTAGAACATATCTGATGGAAATTTTTGACGGTATACTTTGATGAAGTATGTAATTATAGTAAATATTTTATCTTATCTCTTCATTAAACCCTATCTCTTTGTTATCTAAAAAAAAGATAATAGAGCCCCTGCGGTCTGTTATATTTCTCTTGATATTTAACATAATAATGTATTTAGTATCTCTAATAAGTTATGATGTAATACCAAGCTCATAGATTTATTTAGCTGAGTTTGTAAATTTTTTTGATAGGGTAGGGCGGCAAACGACCAGACGCATTATGTTATAGCATGCAATCTGCGCCGCCTATGGACAACCGCAAAATTAGAAGAGTTACCAATGCGTTGCCGGCCAACTGCGCCATTGGTAACGTCACTCAAGCGACGTAGCGTAAAGCTCAAAAGCCTGTGTGTTTGGAGGTATATAATTAACTAGCTGTTGCCCGCGACTTCGTCCGCGTAGATTAATGACTTCTGACAGAATTAACCAGAATCAATTCAGTGCCCAAGTAAGATTTACCTATTTTGAAATGATTTATCGTAGTTTCAATAAATAAATAATCCCGCAGGGATCTTACCAGTACAGTGCCCGATCACGTAAGGTTGGAGTAATAAAAACTATTCTATCGACTATTGTTGAACCGAATCTCTCTAAAATAAGTTCAGTGGTTAAGAGTTAGGGAATCCTGGGGCATTGACGCATAGTTCCCGTTCCCGTGGGACATCTGTGATAAAAACTATCAAACGTTACCCAGGTCCCAAATCATCGTTTTACCGAATGTAATTCAAAAAGATTCAATGATTCTAAATTCAATGGCTAAGAAGATTTATACAACCTCTCATTCCCTATTTTATCCCCTTAGGGGTGGAATTTATCAAAATACTTTCTAAGGAGATACCTATGTCATAGTAACTTTATGCATGCAAAGTCTCAGCCCGATCAATTTAAAACTGGCAAAGTATCATACAAACTTTCACCCCCTATTTTACCCACTTTGGGGTGAGAATTTTCAAAAACCTTTCTAAAGGGACGTTTACGTCATAATATCCATCTGCACGCCGAATTTCAACCCGATCTGTGTAAATCTGGCAAAGCTTCATACAAACGTTCATCCCCTACATTACCCCATTGGAGGTGGAAATAATCAAAATCCTTACTTGGGGATGCCTACGTCATAACATCTACCTGCATGCCGAATTTCATCTGCATCGGTGTAAAATTGACAAAGCTTCATATAAACTTTCTCCCCCTATTTTACCCCCTTAGGGGTGGAAATGATCAAAATCCTTTCTTAGCGGATGCCTATGTGATAACATCTATCTGCATGCCAAATTTCAACCCGATCGATTTAAAACTGACAGTCTCATACAAACTTTCATCCCCTATTTTATCCCATTGGGGTGGAAATTATCAAAATTCTTTCAAAGCGGATGCTTACGTCATAACATCTATCTGCTGCCAAATTTCAACCCGATCGGTTTAAAACTGACAAAGCCTCATACAAACTTTCATCCCCTATTTTACCCCCTTGGGGTGGAAATTATCAAAATCCTTTCACAGCGGATGCCTACGTCATAACATCTATTTGCATGCCAAATTTCAACCCGATCAGTTAAAAACTGACAAAGTTTCATACAAACTTTCATCCCCTTTTTTACCCCCTTGGGGGTGGAAATTATCAAAATCCTTTCTTAGCGGATGCCTACGTCATAACATCTATCTGTACGGCAAATTTTAGCCCAATCGGTCCAGCGGTTTGGGCTGTGCGTTGATAGATCACTATGTCAGTCAGTCAGTCAGTCAATCACCTTTGAATTATATATATATAGATAAAGATAATTATTATAGATACTTTTTGTACTAACCTTGCCTTTAAGTTCAGTAGCTGCCTTAGCCCAGTGTGGCTCCAGGTTCTTGCAGTGTCCGCACCATGGGGCGAAGAACTCCACCAACCAGAGGTCATCGCTGTCCAAGACTAGTTTCTTGAAGTTGTCGTCCGTCAACGTGATCACGTCAGACTCCGATGATGACTGTGAACACCAAAGGAAAGGTTTAAAAAAGCTGTTATGATGATGTAAAACTATTGTAAACTTTATCACAAGAGTATAAGGTTGAATTTTGTGTGTGGTTTCTAGAAAATGTATTATGTGTCAGTATTGTGGTGGAAATAAAATGAGAGATCAGTCCTTTGTACCTAATTTCCTAAGCATTTATAGTGCGTAAGCATGTATAGTGAAATTAATTAAAGATTCCCTGATGACAAAAGTATAAACTCATTCATTATGTACCTATGTAAATAGTGCAACATTTCGAAGATACTTCCGTAAGTGGTATAAATGATATTGTAACTTGGCGAGAAGCCATTTTTGTACAAAGAAAAGTGTAATAAATATAGAATGCCAGAATTATATTCTACACACCACGTGGCAAAGCTAATGACCTATTGTCAAAATTGTACAATATTTTTAAGACTTGAAAAATAAATAAAATTTTATTCACAATTTCCTTTATTGCCTACCAATTGTTTTATGTAAGTTTTACGATCAAAGTCATCGTGATAATAATGGTAATTGAATAACGAGCTTGCTTATTATTATGACATCAAAATGAAGAGATCCAAACATAGTAGTAAGATCTTTTAGAAAATGACCCTCATGTTCATTGAGAAGATGAAGAGTTGCATATTGAGTTCAAAAGTATGCAATTGAAGAGGTCTATAGCTAGTAGTTGACAGATATGGGCATTATGGGCATTGAGTCAGTAAATCATTTTTCGTGCAACTAATCAGTCCCTACATGGTCTGCAACGCATTTGTAACACCTCGGGTGTTGCTGGCGTACTTAGGCTACACTGTCCGCTTAACTTTTTCCGGACCGTTACACATAAACCCTGAAGCCACTGCTCAATAAGGATCGAAAGTACAGTTAATTATAATATTAAGAAGAGTCATTGATTTCTTATTGATGTGAAACGAGGTCAGTAAGTTCACTGACGTGTCCCAATAGAACTGCAAAGTATGCGTAGGAGCAGAGTGGGCGGCGACGCACGACATGCGACGAGAGTTTATTTCATACTACACTACTACCTACGTGAGAGATTCTTCGATTGAGAAACAAAAACAACAAATTCCTGAAAAACTGGAAACGAAATGTTGTATATAGATTTGATAGAGCATCTGAACATCAAGTTGCAACTATAGTATTTGCAAACATTATGATGATTACGTTTGCCTTTCGGATATTTGGAAAGATAGGACTTTCAGAACCCCTCTATTTCAGGTAGTTTTTTATAGTACAGACGGCAAATAAGTAGATTGATAGCCTGCTGGTAAGCGATTATCGCCGAGCATGGAACAACACCATGGGAACCACAAATGCACTGCAGACATTTTAAAATCGTAGCAGTTCAGAAATACCGTGCGTGGTTCAAATTTTTCCTAACTACTTCATGTTATATATTAAGCCTATAGCCAACAGTGGATGAAAACGTGTTGATGATGAAAATATGAGATGATACATGACCCTGATAGTCTATAAATGGGCTAAAGTTAAGCTTCTAACCATATTTAAAGTTTAACTAGGTACCTAAAAATGGTAGCCGTAGGTGGAACAGATGACGTAACTTGAGAAATGGTCATGTAGGTTGACTGTTTCGAAATATTGATTGCTACTCTATAATTTTAGCTTCTAGATCTTACTATGCAACAAACACATGTGATATTTACAATCAAATCATATCTTTCCTTGCCTATCTTTACGAAAAATAGTAATAACAAGAAAATGAGTTTAATCTCACTCCTAAAATAGATAAACTGTTGACAGTAGCTACTACAAGCACCGCTCAAAGATAAGGGGTCATCGTCCTTCCTAGTGCATATTTTGAGAAACCACGACCTTTAGGCGTATTTGAGATATCTAACTAATGAAGGAGTTTTGTTTAGACTTTTTATGGAATATGGGGCAAATGAACACTTGATGGTGACCAGCGACGCCTATGGACACCCGCAACACCAGATGAGTCACAAATGCGTCATGAATCATAGCTAGATATTTCTTTTATCTTAAAACATTTGATTAAATAATACGTCGTTCTTGGGTGTCCTTTGAAATGCACGTGTAACCAATAATAATTGTGTTTACGTAGAAAATGCAACAGCTGTGGCCACTATAAGAAGAATAACAATGCACTTTGAAAAAAGTAATTATTATTTACATGTAATGGCGTCATAATTTAATTATAAATTATTGTTGTTAAGGGCAATACGAGAAATTATATTAATACTTTTTATTTGAAATCTCATCCTTGCATATCTCCGAACCGGCGTTTAACAATGGTAGCATTTTCGTAAACTAGACCCTTGCCTTGGAGTACATATTTCAAGCGCAGTAATGCCTTAATAATTTTCGGTTTCTCTCCAACGGATACGTCGCCACGAAACAACTGAGACTGCAGCAATTTGAACTTGTCTAGGATAGTTAATCTACTGCTATCTTCAATACTTTCTGTTGTCATACTTGTAGTTGGTTGAGTGGTTGTATACAATTTGTGTTGAGTTTTCTTCTGTGCATTTTTCTTTTTATTGCTCTTTTTAAATGGCTTGCTCTTCCGAAGTATTGACTTTGTGGTACCATGTAAATTGTACCCATACAGGTCTGTAGTATTGGGCTTACAAGTGGCCTGATTTGTTGGTTCTTGATGAACTTTCTTAGATCGTGACAGTTTTGAACCTTTTCTAAGGGCTTTTTGGGCTTGTTTCCATGGAATGTTATGGCCATATGCCTCTGGTTCAGATGGCTAATGGAAATGTATTTATGTAGTAATGTTGATAGTGTTAGTCATTGTATTGTTTAGTAAAAGTAACAATGAAGACTTGAATGTAATACCTAGATGTTGTATTAGTATTGTCAGTGTATTGAAATGTAATGTTATTTACATCTACTATAGTTATTTGTAAATACTTAGTTCATATGATTTCATCACACATGTATAAGGCGAATATCAAACTACAATACATTTTAGAATGAAAATAATTCTAATAATTATTTCCTTACATTTATAATGATAAATGGCTTGATTGTACTACTAAACTGTTTTGTAAAGATTAATTAACTCTTAAAAATACATAAACCCAATCAAGGATGCATCTAGAATAAAATATATTGGTTGTACGTTAATATATTGTTAGAGATGATTCTTATGTTACCAATTATTATTGCTATTATTGTGTGTTTCTCTATCTTGGTCAATAAAAGCTTTTATTAACCTATCAATACTTCTCAAAACCTGTACCTTGTGTGATGAGTCATCAGCCCTCCTTCCGAGTCTCTCATAAGCCTTGCTCTTCACTGCACTCAGAGCAGCATCAACAAAAGCATCAGCTGTCCTTGCACCCTTGTACGGAACATGTTTTCGGCCTGTGAAGATCTTAATTGTGGGGAAACCAGACACTCCATAGTCCTTAGCGAAGCTTCTGTGCTTGTCTGCGTCTATAGCTCCCACTTTAACAACACCCTGGAAAGATGAAGGATGTTTAGCTGTATGAAAACTACTAAAACATAAATAAATAAACACTACTAAAAATAAATCCTCTAGTTGATATGACAAAATGTTTCAATTAATATAACCAAGAAGGTAATTCTGATATAAATATTCAAGTAATTAAAGTCAGTTTCTAGTTGGAAAACCAGTTATGAAAGTACAAGTACAATCTTTATTACATTTATAAAGCATCTGCTCAACTGTTAAAATGTGGGTGGAAATTGCAACCAGAAAAAAGTTATACATTACACCGCTAATACACCTGGTTTACTTATGTTCTTTGCCTAAAACTTCAAATTAAATGATGAAAATATCTTTATTCAAGTTTATTACCAGACTGTAGGAAGGGTTTTATTTTTTTATCTTTGATTATTAAACATGGTCGAACATTTCTATGAACTTTCTAGAAGTCATCCCACATACTAAATTAATCGTATGAAACTTTTGTACGATTTAAAGCAATGTTTATATGATAGTGATCGCTAATTCAAGTAAGATTGCACAGATTAATTGAAATTCACGGCTGACTTAGAAGTCGCTATTTTCTAACAAGATTCTTAGTAGAAGTAACATTTATACTTATAAGATTTCATGCTATTGAAATGCGTCTTAGAATTATTGTTTATGTAGGAATTAGGTGGTTGAACTTAAATACTTTTCTATTGAAAACGTACCTTCAGAGCTCTGGCCGCTTTCTTGTATTCAGGCACCAAGTTCTTGCAGTGGCCGCACCACGGCGCGTAAAATTCCACCAACCAAACTTCATCTCTATCTGTGATTAGTTGATGGAAATTGTCGGGCGTCAGGTCTACCACGTCTGAACCCGATTCATATAACGCCAACCCAGACCCCACACACAACAAAATACCTAAAATATAAAGTTAGAATTACAACCGGTACCTACAAATTTTGCAACATAACGAATTGATTTCACAGTTTAATTATGTTATTTAAACATACCCAGGAAATAGGTGTGTAACATTGTGTTGATTATGTGCTACTTAATTTAAAAACTATAAAAACACCAACTATTTGTAATGAGATCGCACAACTTATCGGCTAAACAAGAATGAGCCGTGCGTGCTGAAATAAACACGTCAATCTTTTTTGGCACTCCGAAAAAGACACGATATTGTCAATGGAATTCGTGGACACTCAGTATTGGCCAATTTAAAATTCGCGCTGACATCTTTTACAAAAGAAATCTACGAATGAAGTTTATGGTAAAAATATTTTTTTATTCTGGCTACTCTACAATTTTAACCTACTTTCAGAAGAGGTTGCTTCTAAAAAATTTATGGACCAAGAAATTATTTTTATAATTATGTAGGTACGATCTTTATCATCAAAATATTAATGGAATAGGAAGTTAGTTGTACCATAGTATACTATGGTTGTATCGAGGAGTCTAGATATTCTCATTTTTATTATAAGTCACGGGCTAACGGATTGTATTGTAATGTAAGGTAGGTAGGTACTTATTTGCAATAAAACTTCAGAGTTTTACAAAATATCTATATTATAAAAAGACATTTAATTTATATAAACAACTAGGTACCTATTAAAAAATGATTGGCGGGCAGTATCAATTAAAATACATTATGTATGTCAAAATATAATAGTCAAAATTCCCCATACTAAACTCTGGTCAAAATATTCTTATTTAATTATTTAATTATTATAAAGTTGTTATAACTTTCCTTTTTCTATTATTTGGATTGTCTGTTCTTAGACTTAGACTTAAGGACTTCATTAATTCTTGAGTCACAATGACTAATTACCGTTTCTATTATGTTTTTAAATTCGTTATCACATTCAAACATTTTGTTATGCCTGGCTTTATAGGCTTCAGTCTGTTTACAAATATCTTTTTCCACTTGAGAAAGCATAACTTCGAATGCTTTTAAGGCAGCAGTCACACTGTCCAACTCGCTTGTTGCATTTGCAAAATTCTGACTGTTATTTGCAGGTTTTTCAATGTTGTCTCCAGCAAAGCAGACTGGTTTGCTTAGACATGTTTGCTTTGGAGATTCTTGGTGATCTGCTGTAGTTAATCCTGACTCAGGAACAGATTCATTTGCCACAACTGACTCGTTTTCAGTCGGCTCTATATTAATTGGACTTATAGCATTATGTTCTTTTTGTATTTCTTCTGATTGGTTTTGTATAGCAGATACATTATTCTGTGTATTAATATCTTTTAGACCACTAAATTCCTCGTTAACCGACGTAGAAATTCTGGTATCGGCAGCAGGAAATGTGGCAGTAGACGCGAATTGTGAGCAATGTTCTTGCTCACAATGGGGGTAATCTTGAGTGGCTAATGAGTTATTTTGTGATTTACTGTGAGAATCACATGTTGGTTGATTCTTTACAATTTGCCCCCGTTGAAAGTTTTGCTGGGTTTGTAGAGTTGGAAGCTGAGTATCATGGTGTACAGGCAATTGGTCAGGTATGTGACTTGATACATTTGCTGAAGTCGGTGGCATAGCTGGTGGTACAGCTTGGTAGTTATTTTCTGTGAGAGGTAACTGATTATAGGTTTGAACTTCTGACAGTTTTCTAAGATATAATAATTTTGACTGAGGATCTCTGACAACAGGATAGTCTCCAACATCTGATGCAAACTGGCGAGCATTAGTATTTTCAGAATGCGAATATGGTTGATTATAGTAATCACCCATTACTGATGGGTTATTTTGCTGAGGAGCTTGATGGCTGGGTATTTGGTTAACATAACCTGGCTGTGCAGGATACGTGTGTCTACTACTTCCTGCATAATTGGGAACAAAATTATTGCTAAATTGGTTTTCTGTAGTCGGAAAGTGTTGTTGTTGTGCAGATTTTGGAACCGTGTGTTTACTATTTTGTAAAGCATTTAGTATCAAAGGATTTCTTCCAGTTGTCGTCCTAACAATGATGTGTCCCGTACTATTATCTAATGTCAAATTTTCTACAGGAACTGGCAAATGTTGTTCATTAGGCCGGTAAAGTTGGTTCTGATCAAAAGATATCATGTTCATCGGGATATTTTGAGATTGTATACCCCCAACAGTGTCTTGTGGAGTGATATAAGAGTAGCCACGTTGCTCATGGTAATGTGTGTGATTATACTTCCGAACCTTTCTAGTAGGAGGTTTCGGTTTCATTTTCTTGGCTGGCGCTTTCTTTGGCTTTGATTTGGCAAGTGGTTGGCTGAATTGTTGACTGCTATGCTGAGCGCTGGTGTATTCCAATGGATACGACACATTATCAGAAACATTTTGATCGTAAGCATGAACAGCATGATTAACTTCATTAGGTCTCAAAATACTTAATGCGTGGGCTTCCCCATGTGGATAGTTGCCATTTACATTAAAGGTTGCTGCATTTTCATGTATTTGTGCTTTTCTAATCAACTGAGTTGTCGTAGTTTCTGTAGCATATATTGTTTTAGTCAACAGCTGGACACCCTGCATCGTTTTATCTCCAATATGCGTAGAATTTTCCGGAATTTGTTTTTGTTCATGGCAACCATAACGCAAAAAGTGTTCGGGAACTACTGATATTGTTGGTCGAAGGGCGATTTCCGACGGTTGCAATGTGTTTGTAGTACATGGTGTTGGAGCATTATTTGTTTCAACCAATGATTGCTCTATAGTCTGAATATTCAAAGATGTTGTACTATATTCAATATGTTGCTCCATCACAGTACTTTCAATTGAGTTACCCATATTGTCTGGAATAAGAAAAATTGAAAGTTGCATGAGCTGTCGCATGAGAATCAGGTCAGAGGGTCCTTATAGAATGGTTTACCGAGAACCTAAGCAATTTAGAATACGGGGATTATTACAGGACTTTTTAGCTTTTCGATTTTTTTAAATGGCATGGTGTCTAAAGTTATAGTCGGTACCTACTGTCGCTGCACGGCAAAGGGACACCCCCAATTATATGAGACTCACAACACAACTGGTAAAAAATAGATGTTACATTGTAAATGTGTACCTTTCCCTATAACTTCAGAGATGAAAGGAAATTAATAGTATTTTTTAAAATCAATATTAGTTGCAATTAAATTTTAAAATATTGTGTTCTCACCATCACTATCTACTGCAAATGTATGATCAGATTTCTTTTCTTCCAATATAATCAAATCGCTTAAACCAAGATCATCATCTGTAAAGACAAAAATATACACCACAAAATCAAAGAAAAAAACTAATTTAGGTATTTGAATTTTACTAGTCATTGTGAAGGATAGATTACCATCATCGTCATCATCATCATATTGAGATTTAGGCATCTCTTCATCCATTGAAGTCAAGGTATCTGCAGCATTGTCTCCTGAAATAGGAACAATATTAACACGATTAGGTACCTATTGTATAGAAAAGATACAGATTTCATTATGTGTACCTATATCAAAAAAAAAAAAAATAGCTTCTGCCAGCGGCTTCGACTGCGGTGTCGTGGGATAAAAATTAGCCTATGTGTTATTCTAGACCATAATATGTATAGGAGGCTTAATTACCAACCCCTCTCCCCAATCCCTGAATTCCAACAATCCTCAAACTCCTAATCCCCAAAAAGGCTAGTAACGTACTTGTAACGCCTTTGGGATTCCAGGTATCCATGGGCGGCGACGATTACTTGCCATCAGGCGATCCGTTTGGTCAAAAACAACATAAAAACTTTCGCATTTATAGTGTTCTAAAAGCATTGTTTAATACTTACCATCATTACCAAAATTTACTTCATCAATATCAATACTTTCAGATTTGAGTAGTATACTATTATCCTCCTCTGAAACACCGTATGCACCATTATTCTCTGAAAAGACGATAAATTAACAATACTGCAAGATGAACTAAATTGATTTAAATATACTATATAACTTTTTCACTTAAACTTTTGTATGCAATAATGCCACTGCAATGCTCATGATTATGAGTCCCATTGTGACTTGAAATTAGTAGAGTTTTCTTTAAATGTTCATATTAGTAAAAGCTGTATTTATATATATTTCTATTATTAAAATCAAATCTGCAGATTATACATATGTACATACCTATATAGGTAATGTACCTAGTAAGTAGGTACACAATTCATTGATGAGCTATGAAAAAAATTAAAACACTTGGTGACTATGCAGGGTTTAAGTCCCGCACGGACCAACACTTTATGTGATGCACAAATTGTGTGCATTTGTAAGTACACAATTAATTGTATGTTTATAAAGACACCCACGATGCAGGAGAAAATCCTAGAGCGCCTTTTTTTTAAACTTACCAACTCCATCAGAATTATGCCCCCATTTGGCCCCCATGTCAATATTTCCAGATTCAGATGACTCTTCTTCATACGGATCCTCTTTTATAATTAAAGTGCCCATGGCATATTGACCTTCTGTAATGAGAAGAATATGAGAACAATTGTAGGAACCTGTGGTAGGAACAATCAGTAAGATATCTCAATATTAAATATTTACCACCATCATTATTGTCTTGTATGTCTATATTTTCAGATTTAATGATAATGTCAGCATTATCTTGATTTTCTGAAAAATATTACCGTTTCAATTTACAAGGAAAATACACAATTTTAGGTCATGACTAAAAAATTTTACTAACGGGTATCGTCAAGGTTGTTTGGCATATCAATATCCTCCTGTTCAGACGGGTCATCCTGCTTTGAAAGCAACATGTCTGGACCCTCCTGATGTTCTGAAAAGTATTAAATTACATTACATTATATTATATTCTTATGGATAGGTAAAGTTTGGGAGATATAACGGGACACTATAGGTCAAAGGGGTAAACCCGGACAGAATTTAAAAGATTTACAAGTTTGTATCAATACAAATACCAAATTTTACTTAAGACTTCATTTATATTGAACGTACCAGTATCATTAACATTGTCCGGTACACCAAAATTTTCCGGTTCACACAGTTTATCTTGTTTCAAAATCAGAATGTCTGTTTCATCATTACAATCTGTAAACATAATATTAAATGGTCATTAATAATGAAAACCATCAACGTTGTAAACAGTATTTGAAAAATAATATTGATTATTTACCCTCATCGCTTTCAGATTTGTAAACCAATGCTTCACACAAATCTGTGGAGTCAAAGATTTTAAATCAACAGATGCAGAGAATGTAAAATAATCCTTGGTAGAAAGAGGCTCATACAATTTTGATATTTACCATTATCCTCATCATCATCATCATCTACAGTAATAATATCAGCAGAAATTTTCTTTTCTTCCATTATGATCCAAACATCTGCATCGTCATAATCATCTACAAAACAAACATGAATTTGTACAATATTGAGGTTAGTGACCAGGAAAGTAAAGTACACCTAAGGTCATGGATACATGGAGCTGTTATTATTTTAAGATTACATTGATTAATCTTACCGCTGACGGTCAGAACCGTTCTTTATACCTCACAGACCCTAGAGGTCACAAAGCCTGTCATTGTTTTAACTTTTATAGATAGATCATGAACTAAGTACTTACCAGATTCATATTTGATCAAAGCCATAAAAGCTGGCCAGGATGCAGCAGGTGGTTCATTGTTCTCCACCCGTTTCCTTGTCACGTTCGCATCTTCTCTAGGATACGCGACAGCGGCTCGGCAGTTTGGTAATCTGTTTGTTATCCATGAACTAGGAATACAAACATATCTAGCGATATCCCGATAGGGCAATTCCAGAAATTGAATCACTGCAAATATTTTTGCACTTTCAGAATCAGGCGCCATCGGAAGTTAAAATGTTTTTCACTTGGATGTTAGGTGATAATTAATGGAGTAATTTTTCCCGGAATGAGCAGCGAGTGGAAAGTTATCAAAACCATTAAACTAAAAATACACGGGTGATGTCATACTGATAGGCTCCGGGCATTGCGTGCACCCGAATGTTTTGAATTAGATTTACATTCATATAAATACCTATTAAGGAAACGATAAACACACTGATGCTCAGCTCAGACCTACTTGTACAAATATACATACATACCTACCTAATAAGTACCTACTACGTACATGACACTAAATAAGCTTAAGCTACATGATAAAAAAAAGTTAGACCAACTATTAGTAAACAAAGGTTAGGCTTGGTATCAATAATCTGTAACGGTCTAACTAGGTATCATAGTACCTATACCAGCTATAGTCTCTCAAAGCAAATATACATCCTTATATATAGCCCATAGCATTCCACTTCAATATTTACCCACTGATTTGACATTTTTTTGTATAGAATAACATCATTTTGCATTGGGATTCCCGAAATAAAGTGTTTTAACATAGATTACTCAGTGTTGTCAAATTCAAATTCATAATTCCCGCTTCGACTCTCATGTTAATTTTAGAAGTGTCAACATTTGAACACGAGGCTTTATAGTATCAACTTATCAAGTAGTGTTTTAATATGGGTCCGAAATTAATAAGCAACCTTATGTATTTCGGTCTTCCGATTCGGAGTGGCGGAGAACCTAACGGGTTACCGGGGCGCCGGCTCGACGTGCAAGAGAAGGAACAGGGTGGTTTTTAGTCAATAAGAGTCTGACTCTCCCTCCCGCCTCACCCAGGCGGGAGCAGTAATTCGATGATTTTCCCACATCAAAAAAAAAAATGTAGGTATATTATTTCGGTTTTTGTCAGAAACTAATGTAAAAATCGATTTTGATGGTATGAGTAACAGAACTTCAAAATCTAAAATTCTTAAGGCCAGTAATCTGTTCTTTAGCTATTTCCGCATATCTGTATCCCATGACTATTATCAAAATTATTGTACAAAGATGTACGATTTCTTGTAGTTTTATTGTTCCGAATTCTAATAAGTTGTTGATTAGTATGGAGATTTCGTTTTAGTAAGTTGCATCCTCAGAGAGTAGAGTATTTATGGTATATTTGTCAATGGCTAGATGTAACATCCTGTCATGGCTACTTTTTCTAAAAAAAAATATTTATCGATCGTCGGTTTTTTCAATGTCACGACTCCACGAGAAGATTCTAAAAATCGTATTGAAGAAATACATAATTTTAAGAATAAATGACTAGGGGCAATGTTAAAATTCAGTCCCAGACTTTTTTTTGGATTTAAAGGTAATTGTATTTACTAATTTCAATGTCAGGTTATGTTCGCGCGTATTTGTTTATTTTTAGGACTATTTAGGCGGGAAATTGGCGTCAGTAACGCTTGTCTTGTATGTCATCAATCGTCATTATTCCATAAAATTGGTCAATTTTAATTTTGTAGCCGTCTGCAATATAAGGTCGTGCCACAACAAGTGCGCAATGGCGATGAATTCTAAACCATTCACTGTGTTCGTCGAGGGCAATATTGGCAGCGGTAAAACAACATTTCTAGAACACTTTCGTCGGTTTGAGGACATTACCTTATTGACTGAGCCTGTGGAGGAATGGAGAAACCTGAAAGGATGGAACTTATTGGTAAGCATTACATATATTGCTTATTGTTTAGTTGTAGAACCATTGTTTAGATCTCCGTAATGATTCCGTATCACAATGCTTCTATTAGCGTTTTAAACTGATTTAACAGTCGCCACGAGCGAAGTTTTGTATAATTTATTAATCTTATTTTCCAGGACCTAATGTATAAAGATACAGCTAAATGGGCAATGACATTTCAATCATATGTGTCTTTGACAATGCTGGAAATGCACCAGAGGCCTACTCCGACCCCAGTGAAGCTGATGGAAAGGTCGTTGTACAGTGCACGCTACTGTTTTGTGGAGCACATGATGAGGAGTGGTACCATACACCCAGCAGAGTTTGCAGTTTTGGATGAGTGGTTCAAGTTTATCATGAATCACATACATATTGATGCTGATTTAATTGGTGAGTGTGCTTTGTTTGTTTAGTACTATTCTCTAATATGTAGAAGAACTAGGTATACAGAAGATATTATATTTAATAGGTTAAATCCTTGTTTATTTATGAATTAAGTTAATATGTCAATTATTTTTAATCCAGACCATTCTCTTAAATACCTTTACACTTTTCATAAAAGAAATACATGTACACAATTAATGGTGTTGTGCACATGAGAATTAATACCTATTCGAATCTATAATTTATTTTTGTGAATATTGAATAATATGTGAATTACTTATCACTTAGATAATAACTTAAAATATGCTTTCAAGACTATAGCCTGTGTTAATCATAATATTACTACAGACAAGTCTAAACTTGTATGGGGTTGTATACTCACAATTGAGTTATCAGATAAGATAAAACAATATTATTTAATAACACACATGTGGTTATGTTTTAAATGTCACTAACATAACAGTCTCCATTATCTTGGAAATAGAAAGCATGATCAACAATACCTACACATTACAGAGAAAAAAAAAAACAGTTTTTAGTAGTATTTATTACACTGACAAATATTAATACATCACCATAAATTATCATTGGGAAGACTTCCTCTGTTGAAGACCCTTCCCTTATTCATCTATCTATCTTAGTACATAACTGCACTAAATCTCCGACAAAGGATTAAAACAACATTTCTATCTTTCCAGTTTACCTGAAAACTACTCCATCAGTGGTGTATGAGAGAATAAAGAAGAGAGCAAGATCAGAGGAGCAGTGTGTCCCTCTGTCTTATATTGAAGAACTGCATAAACTACATGAAGACTGGCTTATTAATAGACAACATGCAGAATGTCCTGCCCCTGTAAGTATTATCCTAATCTTTTTATATAAATAAAAACTAATATCATTCTAGAAATGATCATATCCATGTAAACAACACCATGCCTTATAGGCTCATTTTAAATATAACATACACTCATTTATGAATAGGGGTAACATTTTTACTACACACTAAACATGTAAAATTACTGTTTTAAAAATGATACCGATGGAAAAAAAACTAGAATCAAATTCACCAGTTTACTAGTGTTTGCATCCACTTGACTAATTTCCATTTGAACTTAGACCTTTGTTCTATGTGTTTAAAATGTATAGACAAAAATCACATCATGCTTATTATAGTCCTTACAATTTGTTTACTATAAATACACACTAAAATTACTGAAGGCTTCCTAGCTTCACTTTAAGAATGATGCAATAGTGTTAAAGATGGTAAAAGATCAAATTATGCACAAGTATAGCCTGAAAAGCAGTAAACATACTTTTTGTTTTAAATAATACAGAAAAGAGGATCACATTAAAATATCCTAGTAATTAAATAAAGAATACCAATATTCAAATCTTAACTTTATGCCTCACATAACTCTTCAATAAAGATTTCTGCTCTGTGGTAGCTATGCATACTTATCACAAAATATTTGATTACAGTACTAACTTTTTACTGTGCCAAACTACACTATCTTATTGGACTATCATATGTCATTATAGTTATATTAATTGAGATTAGCTTAAATTAGTCCCATAAATGCAACACTAATCGTGTTATTTTGTTTCAGGTTTTAGTGATAGATGCTGACTTGGACCTGTCTCAAATTACTGAAGAGTACAAGAAGAGTGAGCACCAAATATTGAGGAAAGCAGTTGATGTGGTGATGAGATCACCTAACAAGCTTAGCCCAAAGAAACCCATTACTACCTCTCCTATACAGATAGTGCCTCAAAGAAGAATATTATAATAATAACATTATTTTTTGTTTTTAAAACCATTTATCTATTTAGTTTACATTTGACTTGTGTTCTTTATGACTTATTACTTGTAATATTAGTTTTTAAGATTTATTAATGAAAGATCACAAATAATAGTGTAATGCTTAATTTATGATAGAGATTTTATGTTGTGACTTTATGTCAGAACCATAAATAAGCCTTAATATATATTCCATTGTGCTTTAGGAAGAAGTTAATTCTTATAAAGATTAACTTGTATAAATAGTCAGTGTTTTGGAACATAGATGTTTGTGAGAAAACAAAATGTTTACTGCAGCTTAACATTTCAAATATTATAATTAATTTCTATGCTATGGATACATCTGATATTTATAATTTTTAGTTTTAGTTGTGTGTATTGTATTGTGAACATTGCATTTACTTTTGGAGTTAAATTGTTTGTATGATGGCAATGAATTTAAATCAGCACTGTACAAAGTTGTGTCAATATAAAAATATTATTGACTACTGCTTTTTTATTACTAAGCAGAAACATTAAAATATTTTATTGGTGCTGGGTAACATTATACTGGAAACAAAATGTATTAATATAATTTTCTGCTGGCTTTACACTAATGTGCTTTGTGCCTCTATCTGGAAAAGATTTCCTTATGATTATGCGATATTAAGCGAAAAATTGCTATCGAGAGTGTACGCTAACGCTTTTTAGTAAAATTAACGCACGTATTGTGTACCTAACTTCATTTCGAATTATGAAGATCGGGGAACAATAACATATTCATTTTGCAGTAAATATGTGTCATGGGTCGACAACTCCAAAATTATGGAACTTTGCAATCTAGCACTAGTACTAAAAATGCGTCCAACATTAAAAATATTTTTTTATCGAAACGTAATTAATATTTCGGTATTTTAAAAATTGTTATCATGATTTTTTTAATGATTTGTATTTGTGTAGTTGTAAAATCCGTTATTTATCTTTACTCATTTCAAAAGCCTAAAGGGTGAGCATACATTAGGTCTTGAACTTAGCTGCATTCAGACCACCCTAATACAACTTCATGACGTTCAACGGTGCAGGAATGAAGCGCATGTGCGTCGCTCGTAGCATCGAGTATTCATAGGAAACATTACATTGCATGAAAATGCTCTGGCTAGTGTATACTCACCCCTCACCGTGGCTGTACTCTGTATTTGCAGGACAGGTATAATTATACATAGCTGGTAAGTGTAGACATGTATACTTATATAGTTCCTCTTTTGCAGATAGAAGTGCACGCCACACCCAGCCCGGTAATCAATATTTTGCGGATCGAACCATCGTGAACATTATGTGGTATGGCAACACTTGGTTGTCAAAATTATTATTGTGTCATTGTCAGGTGTTAGCTTGAACGCCGATTTCATTATTTTAGTCCAATTTTTATGTAGATCAATACTTTAGGCATAGTTTTAATTATTTTATTGGTGCAATTTGTTATATTAATCGTTTTGTAATGACTTCTTGTTGCGGCAACGAGTTAATATTTAATTCGGTTATAAGCGAAGTGGTGTCTTCCAATTTAGAACAAGCATCATATTTTATCAATATTTTATACGAATCAAGTTTTACTCTTGTTGCTGTTATATTAATTGGAATTTTAATTGTTGTGCTAGGTTATAGGAAAAGTGTTAATATTAAATCGCGATCGCGTTAACTTATAAAAGTAAAAGTAATGTTAATGATTATTGTGAAGCTGTGATCAGTCGGCGTCGTACGGTGAGTTGCTAATTTACTACTGTATTTAAATTTATTTTTAGGATGTTTTGGTAATCTGAAAGTGCTACGTGTTCTCCGATCAATAAACGCAATGCCATGAATTATTCAGCAACAAAGACTTTTGAAATTGTTGTGTAATTGTTATAGCTATACATTTATTTGATTGGAGTTCTACATTTTTACACATTGATCTTTGCAATACGACTTTGAGCATGTACATTTTACAGGAGAAATTGTATTATAACATATCCATATGTACATCATACTATAGATTTTTTCTCACACATCTTCGGGTGATTTGGCACATTCGTGATCTACCCTGTAGATCCGGGCTTTTGTGATTTACGCATCAGAAGCTCGTTTCTACAGGTAGCTCACGATTGGGAGACAACGCAACATGGTGGAACTTCAGTGAACGCTTGGATTTTTTATCACATTTTCTGGTTTTTGGAGTGCATGCATTTGTAAAATTTATGAAATATTGGTCTTTTACAAGAACTAGAAATAACTCAAAATAGAATTAATTTGTTATTTTTGTATTGATTGCGAAACCCATGTGTTGAACATATTTTACAAGGTATGTAAGAGACCAATATTTTTAACACTGTTTTTAATCATTGGTTAAACCAATTCTAAAATGGCTATGGTGCTATTTTTTTGTAATAACATGTTGTAAATGTGTTCTATGTGGTGGAGGAAGCATATATTTACTTGTTTAACTCACCTCTATTAAGGTATGTTGTATCAAAAGTTTGCAGAAAATTGATTAAAAAGCATTTTGATCATAACTATGCTTTTTATAAAACCCCAATCTCACCCATGTTACAGATACATAGTTATCAAAAATGTTAGAAGTTGTCCTAGGTTCTAAAGTAAAACACATTCTTATTTGCTGTATCTCCATTGGCAATTAGTATATATTTATTGCCAAGTCATGAATATGTAGCTGAAACAAGCATACCTTAAAAATTGACAGGTAATATCACCACATTATTGATTGGTCATGCTCACTCAACTGATACTACATTAAAATTTGTTCAGTTACATCACATTTCCACATTAGAGGCAGTTGGAATAGTTTGTAGTGAGTTTCTTTCTGGCTATGATTTGTAGCAATTGCTAGTTGGTATTTGAACATCCAACAAGTTGACCTAGGTCTAGGAGAATTAAGAGGTAGATTTACCTTCTGCACAGATCTAGGAGAGATATTATTATTGAGAGGGTTTGCAAATCTGATTGTTTTTTAATACTCTTTAGTTAGGTAGTTTCACCTATTAGGGACATTTTTGTTACTATTTTTGCGAATTTAATAATCATAATACCCAACAGCAGTTGGCCGGTTGCTCTCATAAGAACCAAGACCACATCTTGAACATTTGCCACCATTACACTTAGGATGCAGTTGAATACCAATATATTGATAGTATTGAGCCCTAACTGGTAGTCGGACAGGTTATCTTAGCCAACGAAAGTGAGTGCGGCCGGTGAGCGGCGCTAGTTTAACGCACTAATATTACCTCATTCGACTCGCCCACTTTTTCACTTTCCTCTTGTAAGTACGAAAGCGTAAAGTTGTCAACTTGATTCGGATTTTCATTAATTACGCATACTTTGTCGTGGTGGCCCGGAGGTTTAAGACGCCCACTTCTCATGCATGAGAGTGCGGGTTCGAAACCTACCAACTGCAAGTACCAATGTGACTTTTTCCGAGTTATATGTACTTTCTAAGATTATTTAGACACCACTGACAAACGGTGAAGGAAAAACATCGTGAGGAAACCTGGACTTATAATTTCTAATTATAAGTTTGAAATCGCCGACCCGCATTGAGCAAGCGTGGTGATTAATGCTCTAACCTTCTCCGTGTGAGAAGAGGCTTTGCTCAGCAGTGGGCATTTATAGGCTGTTGATGATGACGCATACTTTATGTATGTTGGTTAATTTAGACAGTTTCTTAAAATATATTTGCACCACCATAACTTCTTGGGAGCATACATACGATTATTAGAAAATCGCTAGGCTGGGCAGAACAAAGAACAGTTTTAGCACATGGTCGTGGGTGTCGTGATGTCCTATCGTACCTACCCACATTATCGTGGTTACATGAAAAGAGATAAAATTCAATCTCTAAAATACTTTTGAAGGGATTATTTTATGAGAAAAATTCGAATTTTTTTTTATGGTGGGGTGTAAGGGGGAAGGACTAGGTAGTGTGGGATTTTTACCTCATTAATACCACCCCGGTGGCGGGTGGCCACCGCCTGTGGTCATCACCTGTAAATTCTCTAAAAGAGATAAAATCACCTAGGTACCTAATCGGAAATTAACATTACCTACTTCTTTCAAAAAATATCATTCAAACGTACCTAATCGAGAAGCACCCTTAATTTTCATCATATCAATCGATAAATTTTCAACACAGCTAGTGAAAACCCCAATAGCATTACTGCAATATTGTTCATACTGCAGTGCAAATTGTTCGGTCAAAGAACGGGCGCCCGCCCCCTAGACGCGTATAGTATCGATCCGTCTTCGTCTGGCCAGCTATAGGTACATAGGTATTTATGATAGGGTGTACTGAACAGACAGGACCTAACTTTGTGGCAACACTCATTACAAATGCGTGGAGTTTCACTTGATATTTGAGATAGAGAAAACGATACGATTGAAAGCGATTTCGTTTATTACTTACCTATAATTTATTAACATAGCTCTTTATGTATCGCGGAATTTATCATAGTGTATGCATACTATATTCTATGATCTATAGAATTAAAGTAGGTAGGTAGGAGTAGTAAAATTATTTTTTTGGCTGATAGGAGGATGTTTCACATTTTTAGATGCAATTGGTGAAAGTCAACATAAGTACCTATTTAAAAGAATGTTCCAGTCTTTGTTTTCAGCATGGCGAAGTTACTCAGGATTTTTTTATTTAGAAATTCTTTAACATTAACTGCAAGTATCGATAGATGTAACGATCATATATTAGTCACACATTTTATTCTCCGATAGGTAAGCACTAGTAAGCACTGGAGCACAGTTTTTAATGGTTGTTATTGATTATGTTATGAGTCCCCTAAAAGAGGCTAATCTATTGCCATGTACTGGGTACAAATCCAAACTGCTTGCTACTACTGAGATATTCGAAAAGCGAAAAACTGAATCCTAATGCCCTATCCAGGAATCGAACCCAGGTCTCTTAGCAGTCACGTCCACACGATTAACCAGGCTAAAATACAGTTAACATTA